TGTCTTGTTCCGTGCCACGCCGATAGGAACCACTTTCCACGTGTTGCGTTCCTCCAGTGCCTTCAGCTCCTTGTCCATGGCTTCGCGCCATTTTTCCTTATGCTCCCCCCCCAGAGCCTGTTGAACCATCGCAGGCTCTTTAGGAATGGCGGTGCCGTGGACTGCGGTGACGAGTCCGAGAATTTGCAGTCCACTCTGTGAGTAGCGGGGAAGATTTGCGTCCTCGGGATAAGCTGCTTCATCTCCCGCTTCTGGATCAGGTATGAAGTTGGGTCCTACTCGTTCTGCTTCGTTGGTGTTGACTGTCGCAGGTGTTACGTAACCGTTGTCGGCGAAATAGTAGAAGGTTTCGGCGTTGACACTTTCGCGAGGGTTATCTTCGTCCATGGGAACGTCGACGGAGCAGAACGGAAGAGGTCCGGCTTCTTCTGATGCGTTGTCCACATTCTGCTCGTCCCAGTCAGCTTCGTCCGCTGCTGAGGCGAAGGCTCGGTCACCGCGAAAACCACCTGTGGGATCCTGGTCTTCTTGCAGGTTGGCAAGGGATGTCTGGAGCGTGAGTCGTTCGTAGAAAATTACATCACGTGCTGCTACTGTTTCCTTGGAATGGACGTCGAAGATTTTCCACGCGTTGTAGTTCTTTTCGATTCCCAGGTGTAGTCCCCACTGTGCTCGTTGAGAAAATCGGCCCGCTCGTGCTGCTGGGGGTCGGTACTGTACCATGCATCCGAATACTCGTAACATTTTTGTGCTGCCCTGTTTCCCTGTCCATAGCAGATGCGGTGATGCGTTGTTTGGAAGCGATGATGACGAGAGCAAGTTGTGCAGCATGACGGCGTGGTCCATTGCCGCAGGCCACTGGTGGTTGGGTAGCCGCATGCCACGTAACAGTTTGCGCATGCTGTTCTGCAAGGTCCTGTTCATTCTTTCTGCTACACCTTGCTGCTGATGGGCGTAGGGAAGGGAGATGAGCCGCTTGATTCCCCTTTCCGCCAGGTACTGCTTGAATCGCTGAGAGGTGTATTCTCCTCCTCCGTCTGACTGGAAGCTTTTCAGTTTCACGCCCGATTCTCTCTCTGCTACTGGTAGCCAGGCAACGAAGGCTGCGAATGCCATGTCGCGGCTAGGGAGGTTTAGGTGCCAGACGTAACGGGTGGCGGCGTCGATGAAGGTGATTGTATAGTTGTATATTACTTGTCCTGGTTCCCGATTGTACAGGATGTCGCTATACACCTTCTCGAGTGGTGCGTACGCGGGTGCGCTCGGGTTGTGATGAGACGCAAACGGTCGATGTGGTAAGTCACCTTCAGGGCAGGTGAAGCACGTTCCGCGTACTCGTTGAAGTTCTCGTCCGTCGGTCAGTAGGAGTGAGTCCTTGTCGAGTACTCCTGCTCTTATCGTATTGTTTAATACTGTGTTGCTTGGGTGTCCCATCCTTGCGTGCCAGGTGCTTTCGTCGGCGCGATGTCCGGGTGATCGTCGGTACATATCGGAGTTGGAGTAGAAGTTGGCGGTGAAGTTGGCGCTACGATGAACTTCTTGTGGTGCTGGGTGTAGTTGTTGCGCGGGTGTCTGTGGTGTGTCGTCGATGAGGAGCGGTGTCGTTGAAGGACCAGCAATTGGTGTTGACGTTCCTGCTGCTGCCGTTGATGGTTCTGCTACTGCCGATGTTGTCTCTGCTGCTGCCGATGTTGTCTCTGCTGCTGCCGATGTTGTCTCTACTGCTGCCGATGTTGTCTGAATTGTTGCTAACGCCCTTGTTCTTTCTGCTTCAGGGATGGTGTGTGAATACCAGAAGCCTTCTGGACTGAAGTCTGGATCAAGGTCTGGAGGGTGTGTCCAGTTGGTGAAGTTAACGATGGCGTCGCTGTCGGCGGTGCCAAGATCAGGAACGAAATCAAGAACGAAGACGTTGTTCTTGAGGACCGCCTTGCCGATGTAAAGTCCTCCTCTCCCGTGATACAGCTTGAATTCTTGGGTGGTGCTGTCTGCTTCGAGGTGAATCCCTTTCGCCATTAGCTGACTGACGCTCAGTAAGTTGTAGCCGAGTCCCTCCGCGATTAGTACTTTTGACATCTGCAGTATAACGTTTGTTTCCCTTGACTGAAGTTGAACTACGCCTTGTCGTCGTGTTCGCAGGTTCTGATTGTTGGCGACTGTAATGACAACTTCGCGTTGAAGTTGGTGTTCTCGTTGAACGAAGCGTCCCGAGGAGCACATGTGCTGTCCGCAGCAACTGTCCAAGAACCATGTGTCCTTTCCGGATGGTTCGCTTTGGGCGATGGCGGCGTATGTCGGATTCGGCTGAAGTGACTCGCGGCGGGGTGTGGTTTCGTCGAGTTGTTCTTCCGGTGAGTAGTGTGGTGGTGACTCGGTGATGCAGGAGTCACTCAGCTTTGCCATGCAGCTGACGATGTTTCTTGCTCCTTGTGCAGGTTGTCCCGTTGAAGTCGTTGAGGCTTGAATCTGGGTCGTGGGATTTGCTTGCGTTGAGGCGATTTTGCTGCTTGAAGGTCGAAGTTGCCGCTGTGGAGTTGTTGACTGTTGACGATTCGGGCAGTGCGTACGCAGGTGTCCTGAAGTTTTGCAGATGTGGCAGAACGGAGGTACTGGCTTCGGTTGTTGCTGCCGGTTGTTGTTGTTGTTGTAGCGTCGCTGAGTGTGGAACGCGAATTCCGGTGCTGATGTCTTCTTTTTGTGTCGTTCTTCTTGCAGGTCCATGTCTTGCTGCTCGGCGTGGATTTCGGCGCAGAGCGCTGCTTCGGAGATTCTTCCGTGAGCTCGGAGAATGGCCTTTGTGGCGCGCCATTGAGGACCGAGGCCGCCGATGATGACTGTCACGAAGGCGTCTTCAGAGATCGACCCTCCGCATCGAAGAAGCTTGTCGCGCAACTCGCGACATCGACTGATATACGCCATTCCTTTCTCCCCTGGTTTCATTTCAACCGTTGTCAGTTGCGCCATTAACCGACTTTGGCTTACGCTGTCTGTTGCTTGATACAGGCTCTTCAGGTGGTTGTACGCGAGCTCCGCGGAGTTGCCGTAACCTCGGTAAGACCTTATGTTCTGCTGTTGAGTCGGGGTGATATTCCTCAGTAGGATCGTGTACGCCATCATTGACTGATAGGTGTACTGCTGCTTCTCGTACTGTGTGCCGTTTGTTGGGTATGGCAGAGACCCGTCGAAGAACCCGAGTATCTGCGCGCCTTCCATCATCAGCTCGAACTCGAACGACCAGGTGAAGAAGTCCTTTCCATCGAAGGGTCTTGACGTCTGCATCTTCAGAACGTGTGCGAACTGCGACTGAACTTGTAATGCGTCCAGTGATTTTTCTTGTCCAGGTGAAGGCTGTGGGTGTGGCATAAAGCTGATGGACCCGCGCTCGTACGGAGCAAAGGTAGGCTGCTGTTGTTGATTTCCTCGTGCATATGATGAGCCGTCGAGACTCATGGGTGTTGCTCCGTTGTTGTTGCTGTTGTGTGACTGCGCAGGTGCCGATTGCTGGTGTTGCTCGTAGAAGGACATGAAGGAGAAAAACTTCTCCATCATGCTCTGGTCGAAGTCTGCAGGTTGATTCGCGGGAGTCTCGGTAGATGTTGCTCTGGGTCTTGTTGCTGTGCCCTCCTCTGTCTGTAGGCCAGAGGCAGGAGGTGGAGTAGGAGTAGTGCCCTGGGAGCCGTTGGAGTTGCTCCTTTCCTTTTGTGTAGCCATGCTTGTTGATGTTGTCGGTATAGAAGTTGAATTCCCCCTGATAGCTCTCATACCATGTTGGGCTGAAAAACCCCTTAGGATCTTTGCAGGGGTGAACTCTGGGTAGAGTTGGTGTAGTAGCGGAAGCGTTAATTAAAGAGTTGTGAACCACCTTGCGCTAGTATGTGAGGGCAAAGCAAGTTGATTAAAACAAAGAGATACAAGCTTTTATAAGAGTACAAGGAATACGAAGAGATACAGTTAATAACCGTTTTACTATTGCTGTTGCGGTTCGATACAGTGACGACTCGGGCAACTGCTCAATACCGAGTCAGTTGTTTGTCCTTGCTGTCGCGATGTACTTTGTCAGGTCAAAGGTCGCTGACCTTTGACTTTCGCGTAACCTCCAACAGTTACTTTCAACCTCCGAGGGTTGACTCGCCGGTGATTCGTTATACTTCGTTTCTTTCGTGTCTTAGTGTTTCGACACGACAGAGGCGCTTAGGACCGATTGTTTCCAACAATTAGCACATGTAATATAAATACTATTTATTGTACATTAAACTCAGGCACAATATCTAGCCAGCAACTGTGCCCTTTGCAAATCAAAAGGCTTTACAGTTAGAAGTTACTATGCAGTTGCTGACTGCGCAGTGCGCAGCAGGAAACTCAGAAGCCCAACCCAACCCCCCTTGCTCTACCCACTGGAAGGCACGAATCCAGCCCATGTGGGGTGGGCAGCAGGCTGAGACGGGAGTGCGTTGGAGTTGGAGCCAGCAGCAGCAGGAGAGGGAGCAGGGTCGGTGGAGGGCAGAGCTGCAGCAGCAGGCGCAGCATTGGCAGCAGTAGTGAACACAGCAGTGGGTGTGAGTGTGGGGGCGGGTGTGAGGGGGGGTGTGGCTGTGGCTGTGGCTGTGGCTGCAGGGGCGGGTGTGAGGGGGGGTGGAGGCAGGGCGGTGGGGCGGCAGCACCAGTTGGAGGCGGCGAAGAAGGGCTCGTGGCGCCACGTGATGATGAGCGCATCGCCGCGCCGCTCTATGCCGTACCCCTCCCTGTACCGCTTCAGCAGCAGCTGTGGGAATAGCGGGCAGCGGTGGGTTATGGGGTGCGTGCCCACAGGGAGGTTATGGGGGGAGATGGGATGGTGAGTTAGTGGGCACAGGGAAGCTGGCAGTAGGTGTTTGTGTGCGACATGAGAATGCATGCCAACACCAATGCTGCATGCTAGATGTGAGTAGTTACTTGAAAGGTTACGAACCAGAGGGTGAGTCAACCTGCAACGAACACCAACGCTGTGGGTGCACTTCCCATCAACAGTACACGTCAGCACTCACATGCGCGTTCTCCTCCACGTCAGCGCTGACAGCGCGCGGCACGAACCTGCAGCGCTGCATGCGCTCATGCCAGCGGGCGTGGCTCTCATGCCGCTCCACGCGCTCGCGCCCCTCACAGGCGATGATGTTGACGAGCTTGCGCCCGAATATCCTCTCCTCCACCAGCGCTCTCTCCGTGCTGTTCCATGGCAGGCTGGCGTCCAGCGACTCGTAGAGAGCGCTGAAGTAGTGCAATGCCTCTCGGAAGCGCGATAGGAAGGAGGGTATGTTGTGATCAGCGTGCTGGGGGGGGGATTGGGAGGAAGCATGGAGAGGTGGGAGAGGTGGGAGAGGAGGTGGAAGGGGAGAAGGAGAGTGACGATGGTGGATATGAGTTGACAAGGAGATGGAAAATCGCCAGACAGAGTTTTATTTTTGCATGCACCTAAAGCACCCCACTCTCTCCTCCCCCCACATCTCCCACACTCCACACTCTTCCCTTCCCCCCACCTGTTCAATGAGAGTGACGATGGCAGGGTTGAGGGAGCGGATCATCTGGAGCGTGCAGTTGCGCTGGCTGGGCACGTGCGGTGCGCTGCTCTCGTCGCGCATCTGGTGCAACCGCAGCAGGCAGTTCACCACCAGCACCTCGTCGCTCCTCACTGAGAAGTGCTCCGGCTGGAGGGGTTAGAGGAGTGGGGGCGAGGGGAGAGATGAGGGAACAGCGAAGGGGAGGGATAAGGGGACAGGGAGAAAGATGTGGGGGAAGCAGCATCTGGTGCAGCCGCAGAAGGCAGCTCACCACCAACACCTTGTCGCTCCTCACTGCGAAGTGCTCGGAGGGGTTGGGTTGGAAAAGTGGGAGCGAAGCGAGAGATGAGGGAAGGGCGAAGGGGAGAGACAAGGGGATATGGAGAGAGATGAGGGGAGAGTAGCATCTGGTGCAGCCGCAGCAGGCAGGCAGTTCACCACCAACACCCCATCGCCGCGCCCTGTAATCTGCTCTGGCTGGAGAGGTGAAGCACTGGGGTATGGGGGGGATCGATGAGGGGAGAGGAGGAGAGAGATGAGGAGAGAACGAGGGGGAAAGCAGCATCCGATGCAGACTGAGCAGGCAGCTGATCATCAGAACCTCGTCACTCCTCACTGCTTAATACTCGGACTCAGGAGGTTACAAGTAGGGGAAGCAGAGAAGAGTGCGTGGTGAGGGGGGGAGGGCGGGAGAGGAGGACAGCATGTGTGTTGCATTGCGAGGAGGCAGAGGGAGATAGAAGGGCAGGGGAAATGGGCGGAGGAACGGACTGGCGTGCAAAGACAACTCCTATGCAGAGCAACAGACGCGCACGGCAGGCATATTGATCTTGACACAGGCAGGCAGGCATGCAGGCGGTCAGGCAGGCAGGCGGGCAGGCAGGCAGGCAGGCGGGCGGGCAGGCAGGCAGGCAGGCAGGCGGGCGGGCGGGCGGGCGGGCAGGCAGGCAGGCAGGCGGGCAGGCAGGCAGGCAGGCAGGCAGGCAGGCAGGCAGGCAGGCAGGCGGGCGGGCGGGCGGGCAGGCAGGCAGGCAGGCAGGCAGGCGGGCGGGCGGGCGGGCGGGCAGGCAGGCAGGCGGGCGGGCAGGCAGGCAGGCAGGCAGGCAGGCAGGCAGGCGGGCGGGCAGGCAGGCAGGTGGAGGGGCGCACCTTGAGGTCGTCGAGCTGCTCTGTGATGGGCGTGAACTCAAACGGCACTCCTATCACCCTCGCAAACGCTGACAGCCGCCGCCCCGTCTCCTGCCATGCAAGGGCGGCACACATGGGGGAGGAGGAAGGGGGGAGGAGGAAGGGGGGAGAAGTAGGGGGAGGGCATGGAAAGGTGAGGAGGAGAAAGTCAAACAGGTTGGTGTTGCGTGATGGTCGCGAAGCGACATGCACCCATGCGCATAGCAAGCACGCAGACAGCCACGCAGCCACGCAATGCAGCTGCAGCCAGCACTGCTCGAGTCCAGTGAGCGATGCACTGGACCCCGCCGTGCTCCCCACGTGCCGCACAACCCATGCACCGTCACCCCTCCCCCCCCTCTCACCCACCCAAGCACCTGCAGAAGTACCCAGCCATCCCACCCACCCATCCCGCCCACCCATCCCACGCAGCCTACACACCTCCAGCGAGGAAGGCTTGAGCCCGGTGAGAGGCGCATCCACCCCCGTGATCCTCAGGTGCGGGGGCCCGCCAGGGCGCGTGGCGAGGCTCTCGAGCAGCGTGGGCCACTGCGTGCCGTGCGTGATGCCCAGGTCGATCACATGCACCCTCCTCGCCCCCTCCACCGCCTCCAGTATGCTGCCGTTGGCCACCAGGTGGCCGAAGTTGATCCACGGGCATGCCTCACAGAACACCAATACTGCAGACAGCATTGCCTTGCTGGATGGACCGGGCTGGCTGCCCTGGCGGGATTGCAGCGCCTGAAGGGAAGGGGTCAGAGGAAAAGGGGGTTTGGGGTGGTTGGGTTGGAGCTAAGTTGGTCCGCACACACGCCTGCCTGGTGAGGTGCCTCGATACTTGCCTTGCAGGACACCACAACCACCGCTGATGGGCATTGCACGCGCTCAGTGGCCCTGCTTGGCTGCCCTGGCGGGAGTGTAGGTGGTGCTGTGCGGTGCTATGGGGTAAGTGAGAGCAGGTGCAGGCTTGTGACCCACGCACCTTATAGATAGCCGACCCAGTGCCGGCAATCCTGGCAGCCAGAGCCTCCAGAAAGAAGTACCCGAGGCGTTGCTGTGCGGTGCCGTGCGGTGACACGAGGTGCGCGAGGGCGGACATGCGGGAGTGCGCCTGCCCCAGGTCGCGCCTGTCAACTGCCGCTGCACACTCCATGAGCGCCACCTCCATGGGGGACGTCACTGGGCGGAAGGGCGGAGGCAGGGGCGCAGCCAGAGGCGTCGGGCCAGCTGTGGCTGCTTCGCCGGGTGACATTCCTTGGGGCAGGCTTGCAGAAGCTACTGGTGGTGGTGGTGTGGGTGGCATGGCGTGTGTGGGCGGCACATAGTGGACGCCATTGGGAGGTTGGGGGAGTGCTTGTGGTTGCAAGTGAAGAGCCTGGTTCCATCCCTGCTGCTGCTGTTGCTGTGCTTGCAACGCTTGCTGCTGCTGTTGCTGTGCTTGCAACGCTTGCTGCTGCTGCTGCTGTGCTTGCAACAATTGCTGCTGCTGTGCTTGCAATGGCTGCTGCTGCTGCTGCTGCTGCTGTGATTGTAACGATTGTTGCTGCTGTGCTTGCAACGATTGCTGCTGCTGTGCTTGCAACGGTTGCGGGGGAAGAGGGTAGGCCTCAAGGAGCGCAGTGATGTCAGCGCTGGCCACAGAGTCGCTCTTCATGCCCGCACTCAGCACCACCGCCCCCCCACCTGCCGCCTGCTCTTGCTCTTGCTGCCCCTGCCACTGCTGCTGTTGCTGTTGGCCTTGCAGCTGCTGCTGTGCTTGTAACGACTGCTGCTGCTGCTGCAACGAGTGCTGTTGCTGTTCTCGCAGCATCTGCTGCTGCTGCTGCTGTGCTTGCAACGACTGCTGCTCCGCCTGCGCCTGCAGCATGCGATTCACTTGCTGCGCGCGCCACTCGCTCTCCGCCCCCCGAGCGCGCTTCCCCCCTTCCTGACTCTCCGCCAGCAGCCTCAGATAGTCCGACGGCACCCTCAGCAGCCCTCCCCCTCTTCCCCCTCCCCTTCCCCCCGCACCTCCCCCCTGCCGCTCTCCGCCCTGCCACGACTGCGCGCCCTGCTGCTGCCCCTGCTGTGCCATGGGGGGTTGCCCCTGCTGCGCCATGGGCGGTTGCGCCAGCTGTTGGGAATACCGAGGTGGCAGCATGGGGGGACGCATTGCGCCTGCGGGACGCACCACCGCCTGCTGCGGCGGCTGCTGCGGCTGAGGCTGCTGCTGCACCTGCGACTGCATCGCCTGTGGGGCGGCGGGCGGAGAGGAGAGCGTCTGCAGGATCTGCTTTTGGCGGAACTGGCTCCCCAGACTCAGCGACCGCGCGCCGGGAATCGCGCCCCCCTTGCTGCCGTTTCCGCTTGCGCCATTATCCCCCCCGCCACCGTTTCCCCCTGACAACGCTGACGTGGCAGGTACTTGCTCGCGCCACCCGCCCATACTTTCCCCGTTTCCCGCGCTCCCCGCAACAGCAGTTTCCCCTATTTGTCCCGCTCCCATTTCTTGCACAGCCGCCTCCCCCTCCGCGGGCCTCTCTGCTTCCCCAACCCAGCAAACGCGCGAAAAGTCCCCCCGCAGCTCCGCGCTCTCAAATGACGTCAGCGTCTGCATGCCTCCAGTGCTTCCGCCCGCTCCCCCCGCGGTTAAGCTGCTATGCGGACTATCCAGCCCTGACAGGCTCTGCGGAGTGATCCCCGCGCTGTCCGCGGAGTCCGCGCGGCGCATGGCATGCACGTCGGGCACCGGGCCGCCCGGCAAGCTAACGGCCGGAACAACACCAACGGCCGGCACGGCAGGAACAGCCGCCGGCAAATCGGCGCACGGTGGGCCGGCAGACGAGAGACCGTTCAGAATCTCCTCTATGGAGTCCTGCGCGGGAAACGCAGGCGCAGCGCCATTCGCGGCGGCGATGGCGTTGGCGGCAGCGCTGGCGTCGAGCGGGTCGTCGTCGAAGGCGAGCGCGAAGGCGCTGAGATCGTCGTCGTCGGGCGGAAAGAACATGTCCATCTCCTGCAGCAGCTGCGATATCTGCACGTTGCTCACGTCCCACGCGCCGCCCGCCGCGGACGAGTCCGACCCCGCGTGCTCCGGCGTCGCCGGCCCTACCGCGCCTCCCCCCCACGCCGCGTCAACTGCGCCGGTTTCCGTCCGCATTCTCTTCCCGCTCCGCAGGTCTTCCGCCGGCTGCGCGCAGGTTCCGCCATGCGCGGATGCGGACGGCGTCACTAACGAGCTCGTGACCTCCGCGGTGGCGGACCGGGCGCTGAGTGAGTAATGGGCGGGGACATGCGCGGAACCGAGAACAGCGGAAGCGGATTTAACGGCCGAGACAGATACGTAATCCGATGTGCTGACGAGCTTCGGTGAGGAGGTCGAGGGGTCTAGAGGGGGTCGACCGCTCGCGACTTGCTGCGATAAATTTCGCGGTACATCGCCTACCGACGACGGCTGCGACAGTCCTTGCGACGATTCCTGCGATATCGGCTGCCGTCGCGTGCGAATAAGGTCGAGCAGCTGCGACGCTACGTTCTGCGCCGACATGTCATCCATGGCGAAACCCCCTTTAAACAGAATATAATTGTGCTGACTAGAACGTCGTTAACAGAAGAAGACGGAGATAAGAAGAGATACGTGGAAATGGAGCTAAGAGAACCTTGTTCGTCAAGTAATCCAGGAGCTTCCTGCAAATGCAAGGCAAAAATGTGAACTTCGTTTGATAACTAGAGGGGCTGAGGGCAGCGAGGTGGGAGCGGGTGGGAGGGGTGAGCGTGGGGGCGGAATCACGGACTGTGAATGAAAGGAAGGGCTGGCAGTGGCAAGCGGGTTGGATGGACCAACACGAGCGCGTGCAGCGCAGCCCACCCTACTGAAACCATCGGAAACGTTCCTCACCTTTCTCATTCCAGCTCCACCCCTCATTCCACCCAACCGTGCCCCAATTGCAACACCCTTTTTTACCTCCACCAAATCCGTCACCCTCATGCACTGCCACCACCACCACGTGCAGCACTTGTCGTTAGCTGGACGTGCTACAATCGTCCCAGAATAATCACCAAAAGCACACCTAGGCAGCATTGTGCTACACCTGCAAATTTTATGAGTCTTAAGTTCATTTTGCCTCTGCATTGAACAAGTCACCTAAGAAGTTGTCTGAAAATCAAATGGAGGCCTTCTTAGCATTAATACTAAGACACACTGGTTGTAGCAACATCATAAGCATAAACATTTGGGAGCAAAGGAATGGTGATTGGGTAACATCTGTGGCGCCTTCAACAATAGCGAAAGGAAACCACATGTGTGGGAAGCACCAGATCATTCACATCCTCTTCCCACACCACATAGCGTGAAGGATCATTCACATTGTCAGCTCCCGTGTCAAACCAAAGACTGCTAGGCCGCTGCTGGGACGACCCAAACGGAATCGCCTCCATCGATCCAAGCGCCACACGGCAAAGCAGCATGTGCTTGCGGCCCTCGCTATCCGCTACCGCAAACTCTGCACTCGTGTAGGCCCTCTTCTCCGGTGCCAGGTACACTCCATCCCCATAGAGCCTGCCATTGCGGGCAGCAGCGGAAGAGGAGAGGGAGAAACCGCTCGACACTATGCGATCCACTGCCATACGAGGGGCCCCGTGCCATGCCAGCCGCACATTGCCATCGCCCCCCCTTGCTCCCTTCAGCTCTCTCACAGCTTCTTCAAAGGCTTGAGTGCGGGAAGCAGGCAGAAGCACCTGCTGCACTGATGACACTGTCACGGGCCTCATGCCATCCTCCTGCTCCACCACCCCTCCACTCACACTGTTCTGCCGGAAGCTGCTGTTGGGGCGGTCATTTCTATCCCGTAGCATTCCAGCCACAAACCGAGCCACGATTTCGTCGTACTCATCTGTGCCGGACCTCAGAACCTGCAGCCTCGGCAGCTCGTCGTCATCTGAATCAGCTGCACGTTGCCCTGGTTGACGCCGAGCCAAAGGGGTGTTTGGTTCGGAGTCGGGGACATCACTGGAGAGGTCATCAGACATGTATAGAGCAGCAGGGAGGGCAGCAGCAGCCGCGGCCACTCCAGCAGAGGAAGAAGCCGGCCGTTGCGCATCACCATCACCACCATCATCCTCATCACCATCACCACCATCACCATGCTCTCCATCATGGCGCGGTGACGACGAGAGGCGCGAGACGAACTGAGCGCTGGGCGCCGGTTGCGAGAGCAGGGGGTGCGGGGGAAGGCCAGTGAGGGAGAAGTAGACGGGGCAGATGTCGACGCCCGATTGGGCGAGAGAGCGCAGCTGTTGGTCGTAGCGGTACATGAGGCGCGGGTCCTGGCTGCCCGGGTGCAGCCCCTGGTGCGGGCTGGAAGGGCGGTTCCAGCGGCCGCTGGGCAGCACTCGCCAGCTGATTGACTTGCAGAAGAAGGACGACACGTTGAACTGCCACAAGGGACGGCCGGGTGGTCGATGAGGTGGACAGACGGGAGGCAGGCGGAAGGAGACAAGTGTGGGATGGAGGCGGACAACAATGAGCGACAAGACAATAGACAGCATGCATCAATTCGAGGGTAGAAAGCTCCCTTGCCTGTTCTTGGACTTCTCTGTTTGTGCTGATCTCCACAAGCGTCCCTCACCTGCAGCTGCTGCTGGAAGTCAACGATGTAGTGCGCGCCGGTGGCAGTGGCGAGGGCAGCGAAGCCGACGCCCTCGGCGAGTTCAAAGCCCAGCAGGCGCGATGCGTCGGCGTCGAAGGGGCGCCACTGCCCCGACTCGTAGAAGGCAAACTCCGCACTGTGCTCCAACGCGAACGCTGTCAACGCCTCCTGCACTGCCACGAGACCTCCTGCCATCGCCACGTGGATGGGCATGCTGCCACCCTGGCAGGAAGAGATGGCAAAGAGGAAGGGTTGAGCGCGAGGATTCGGATGCGATGCATGGACGACTGTGGATGAAGGTGGAGGAACGAGGAAGCAGGAAGGAGACTCACCCTGTCTCTGATGGCGTAGTCAGTGCCGGCATTGAGCAGATGCGAAAGGATGCCCAGACGGGGGGAGGGACTGGCCGCCAGATAGTGAAGGGGCGTGCGGCCGAACTGCAGTGAAATCACGCACGTTGAGACCGAGGGATGCGCATTAGTCGGGGGAAGGAAGTGCCCGACCAGACGGAACGGGATAGGAAGGCAGGGAGGGTGAGAATGCAGTTGCATGGCGTTGCAAGAGAGGGTATTACTCACATCGTCTTTTCCGTCCACGTCAGCACCCGCAGCAAGGAGCGCCTCGACCATGGCCTCGTTTCCTGCGGCCACGGCAGCATGCAGTGGGCGACGTCCCACCAGCACCGGCTCACGCGCACGTGCATTCACGTCCGCGCCCTTTCTGAGAAGCTTTTGCAGCTTTGCCGTGTCGCCTTTCACCGCGACGCCATCTATGCTCGAGCCGCTGCTGGTCGACAGACCCGGCACGTGCCACCGCACCATAGTCACGCGTCGAGACGTTCCGCCTTTTGCTCGACGGGAGGGGTCCGCGAGCAATAAATAAAGACTGGACTGGGCTGAAACTCGCTTACTGAAGAAGGCTATCTAACGGAGGTTACAAGATGGTTTACTATTCGCAGTCTTTCCACAATACGTAGTTTCTGTAAAGATCCACCGATAGTCTGGTGCTGCAAGGCGAATTCAGCTCTCTATGAAGGGTAGATAGACGCTTCGCTTCTTGAGCTGCTCAACTGCCTCACCCGGGCCTTGCTGTTCGCTTCTTGACAACTGGATTCGCCATGGAACTTTGTCGGCAATTCCTAGGTGCATCGGTCGCTGAGTCTTCGCAAGCACCGCTCACAGCCGCAAATTGGATTTGGTCAGCTTTTGACGACAGGGACGAAACGGTGATGGAGCTGGGTGGCGAGGGGAATGGTCAGCTGCAAGTTCTTTGCGAAGCGTCTGCGAAATGGGAGAAACCACTGGGAGAATACGGCAACGTGGATCCTTTATTATGCATTCCGAAAACGATTCCTGAATTGACTGTACACCGTGGCATGTTCTTCAATTTACCTTAATCTGAGAATCATGATATTCCTTTCCCTCCACCATTCTGACCGCAGCCTCAAGTACTGACCGTTGAGTCCTTGAGTCTGCCTTTCTTCAGTTCCTTGCTCCATAGCGCACGAAGCGCTCTCCCCAGACGTTGCCTAAGGAAACTCTTCTCGTCTTAGAAATCTTCTCACGCAAGTCGCCTAGCGTGTTTCTGCGAGGACTGATTCGTCCACCATGGTACGCATTTCTGCTAATATGCGTTATCCGCGATAATATTCCCGTCGTTCGTGCACCGATTGTTTCCGAAAGAAGTTGGTCCTCCAGTTTGGTCAATCTCGTCGGTATTTTCTCTTAGATATTATCCTTCAGCGGCGTATGTGTCACAACTGTAACTCCGTCTTTCACTTATGCTTCCCCTACACCCCACAAACCCCCACCCTCTTCTGTCCCCACCAAACCCCTTTTCTTCGTCATCCCCTTTCCTTGGCATTGAGCGGTGCAGCCGCAGGGCGAGCACATTGAGCTTCATCAGAAGCGCCATGGCTTCCGCTTGGATCACTTCGAGCGGAAGCGCAAGCGCGAGGCTCGGCAAGTGCACAAGACGTCTCAGATTGCGCGGAACGTGAGTCAATTATGGGAATCGGATTGCTCTATTTATTGTTTTAGAGTTTCTCTTAGTAGACCCGGCTCCTGGTACCTCCGGTTCTCGCTCATCGTGTTCCTCCTGCGTGCCGTACTGGATGGAATTTCGCAGACCATCGGTCTCAAGGCGAAGATGTTCGCGAAGAAGCGTTACCAAGAGAAGGCGACGATGAAGAAGACGTGAGTTAGAGTTACCAGTTCTCGTACCCTGGAACGCTAAGTCTTTATCTGAAGTCTCCCATTGTCTCCTTCGGTCGCGCGCTGTTAATCTTTGTCTCGTTTCCTGTACTGCCATCCACCCGCTCGTCTCACTTCCGCCTCTCCCCTTATGCCAACTCCTCCCCGTTCCTCCCCCTTTCCACCGTTCCCCTTTTCCCTCTCCCTCTTCGCCCCCTCCGCTCCGCCGTGCAGTCTGGCAATGCACGCGGAGCGGACGAACAAGCACAAGGCGGACGCGCCAGTGGCGGAGGGCGCGGTGCCGGCGTACCTGCTGGAGAGGGAGGCGACGGCGCGCGCCAAGGTGCTGAGCAACACCATCAAGCAGAAGCGCAAGGAGAAGGCCGGCAAGTGGGACGTGCCTCTGCCCAAGGTAAGGCAGCTTTGATGCATGGCGTGATGCTTCACTGAGTTGACTTGGCATCACATGCGGTTTCATGGTGTGGGATCGGGTGATTTGCTGCACAGCAGGTCTGCTACTGCACACCTCACTGCACCGTCAGCCATATTGCTTTTTCCTATAACCATACTCCTCTGCCTCCCTTTGCGCTGTGCACTGCAGGTTCGGCCGATAGCAGAAGATGAGATGTTCAAAGTGGTCAGATCAGGGAAGAGGAAAAGTAAGCCTGCTCAGCCTCGCCCCATCCCTCGTTCACTTTCGCTTGGCTCTGATTGCGGTTCAAGTCAAACTGGTTCAACTGCACATTCTGCTCTCTCCTCTTAGATGGTTTCTGACTCAGTTCCTTCTCTTATCTGAATTGCCGCTTTGCCTTCTTGTGTGCAGCCAAGCAGTGGAAGAGGCTAGTGACTAAAGTCACCTTTGTGGGCCCAGGGTTCACTCGTAAGCCACCCAAGTATGAGCGCTTCATCCGCCCCATGGCTCTGCGTTTCACCAAGGTGCGCCACCAGCTCCTCACGCACCCCACCCCCTCCTCACTCACGCCGCACTCTCACTCACCCCACACTTTCACTCCACCCCACACTCTCACTCTCTGCGCACTCCTCTCACTTACTGCAGACTTGCATCACCACATCCCGCTGCCCCCTCCCAACCCTCCAATTTCTCTTCGTGTCAGCAACTGTTGTGCTACTAACACCCTGCTTCTAATGTGCTGCTTGCGTGCATGCATGCAGGCGCATGTGACCCACCCAGAGCTCAAGTGCACGTTCCATTTGGACATCATCAGTGTGAAGAAGAACCCCAACGGCCCCATGTACTCGTCCATGGGGGTCATCACCAAGGGAACCATCATTGAGGTATGCATGCTTTGCACATGCACTGCGCGCATGCTCGTATGCATACATGCATGCAGCTGCAGCCATGCGGATCCGTCTGATATCCTCCTCCTTGCAATGGTCCCATGGTTTCTGTTGTTGTGATTCTTTGGGGTGTGTTTTGTATCACGTCTCCACTGCCTCATCCTGTTACCCCTTCATTCCGCCCATGCCTCCCGTTGTTTACTCCAGGTGAACGTGAGCGAGCTTGGGTTGGTCACACCAGCTGGCAAAGTCATTTGGGGTAATGCTGTTTTATCTGCTTCCGTTTCCACTACTCAATTTGATTCTTCCTCTTCCTCTGCTGCGATTAATGTTTGATGAGTATCCTGACGGTGCTTGCTTGTTGTGCAGGTAAATACGCCCAAGTAACCAACAACCCAGAGAATGATGGTTGTATAAATGGAGTACTATTGGTGTAACCTTGGTATACTATGTACATTCTGGCATTCAGTAGTGGTCCTGCATCTTATCATTCTGTGAAAAAACGCGAGTCTAAATTGCAGTGGCAATGAACTAAGCTCGTGTAAGATGCGTTACGAAATGGTGCTGGTCACCTTGGGCTCAGATCCTTAGCACGGCCCACTTATAGCGCAGCGGAGATGGGCAATCTGCTCATCGCAGGAATCTGATCATCTGAGCATTTCTACGGCACTGATCAGATGAAAACCAGCATTCGCCATTCCCATGTCCGAATAAAAAGCTGGCTCCGTAATTAGTCCAGGAGAGCGAGCGGCGACACGAGCGTGAAAAGTCTAAGCGGCTTTGACTCGTCTGAGCGTCAATCTTAGTCACGAATACGTCGTTAGTAGCTTAGCGTCTCGCAATGGCGTGTCTCGCATTAGCGCTGCAGCCGGCACAGGGACCAGACCTGCTGCTTCAGACGTAAGGGACATTCGTCTAGCAGCCGCGACATAGTTGTCGTGTCATTTAGTATTCGTGTCAATAGCTGTCATGTCATGTATCAGACGTCTGATGGGTAGTGTCATCAAGCAGCCGTTACATGTACGAGTTGTGTCATGCAACACTCGTGTCATGTATCAGCCATGTCTTCTAGCAATCGCGCCAACTAGCAACGGTGTCATCTAGCGGTCATGTCATCTAGCTGTCGTGTCGTCCTATGCTAGTCAATACGGCGCATCAGTCCAGTCGTGAGCATCACGCAATCAGGCCTCAGGAGTTCCCATTGTCCGTTGATCGCTGGCAAATATCAACTCTCGCCATTCCCCACCCTACCGTACTCCCATCTAATCCGCAGCCGTCTCCGGCTTCACTGTTGCATCTCCCGTCCCTCAATGTTCTCGCCGTTGCTTCCCCATTTTCCCCCGATTCCCCCTGAGTCCGCCGCAGCAAGGTATGGTTCCCCCCCAAGCGCGCGTTGGCGGCGTGTCAGAGCTTCCGCACGACGCGGCACGCGGACAGCAGCGTGCGGCATCACGAGCAGCCAGCGAATCAGGCGCTCATGCTCGATCGCCTCGGCGACGACCCGCTGGCTGCTGCGAGCGGGCAAGTCGTCGTCGGCAGCGACCGACGGTGCGTGCGACGGAAATCAGGAGGAATTAGGAAAACTGTAGTGCATTCTTTCTCGCGCACACTGCGAGGCGTAGCGTGCCGTCATGAGGACAGCACCTATATGCTGGGCTCGCCCGCTCTCCCCTCACCTGCTCCTCCCTTCCTCCACACTCGGCCCCCCATCACTGCTCCTTCCCTTCTTCCGCCGGTGTGAGCGCGCAGGTACCGCGTGGTGTACAGGCTGGTGAACAGCATCTACGTGCTGGGGCTCATGCTGGCGGACGACGATGAGACGTCGCTCAACGTCTACAGCTGCATCAGCACCGTCAACCAGGCCGTCAGGTGAGCATTTTCATCTGCAGTCTTTTGTTATCAACGCTTCATGCACAAGTATGCGAGTGCTTCAACGTCGTTGTTCAACCTCCCGGCATTGTCCACCCGTTATACCCCATAACCCATGGCTCCTGTCCCACATGCCCTGTGCTGCATGCCCCATGCATGGTGCGCAGTGTGCTGGTGGCGGCGTGCAAGGGCGTGGATGTCACACCGGAGAAGATATTCCGCAAGTACACTGAGGTGAGCACACACTTCATGTCGTGCCACTCTCGCGTTTCATCCACCTTGCCTTGTGCACTCTCTGGCCTCCTTTTCCCTCTCCCGCCCCTTGAACTGGCAAACGGCAACCCCCCTTTCCTCCCTCCCACCAGGTCTACATGGCGTTCTTCTACGTGCTACAGGGCATCGGAGCGGCGCGCCTTTCCGCGGTGCTCTCGTACGTGGCGGGCGACGGTGCAGCGCTGCTCGTGCCACTCGCCACCAACACCCTCGCCGACGGGGAGAACCGCGCGCGCGGCGCTGCCAGCTGGCGTGTGGCTAATGCCGAGGCGGTGGAGCGACTGGCGAGCGTGGAGGTGAGGGAAGGGGTGGGGGAGAGGGGGAGATGGGTTGTGTGAGGATGAGGGGGAGAATTGCACTAGCGGTGCTGCCAGCTGGCATGTTTCTTAATCGGAGCAGTGGAGCGATTGGCGAGCGTGGAGGTGAATCGGAGGCGAGGAGAGAAGGAGTGGCGAGGAAGGGCTCGTGACGGTGGTGTTGAGGTGCGACCGTTGACGAGGGGACCTCCAGGGGGCTGGGTAGTGGTGAAGTGATATCTTCATCATAGTATTGTTCATTTGCCCTAGTCCCTAGTCTTCCAACCCAGCCACTTCTTAAACTCCCCTTCCCCCCCCACCCCTCCTCTCATCCCCTCCTTCGCAGTACATGTCATCAGCGCACTTCGAGCTACCAGAGGAGGCCATAGCAGCGGGCGACGAGACAATGGAGGCGTTCGCCCCGGCGCCCTCCCAGCCTGCCTTCGAAGCCCCCCCCGCGCCCCCCACGCCCTCTCCGCGCCCCTCCGCGGCCTCGGACCCCCTGGCGGCGCTGGCGCTGCTGGGCTCCGCGGATGACCCCTTTGCCGCCAGTGACAGCCTGCTGGGGGGCGGGGGGGGCGAGCTCGCGCTGCTGGACGCGGGTCCTGGGGGGGCGGGTGGGGTGGGGGATGTGGCGGCAGCAGGGGGTGCGGGGAAGAGGCCAGAGAATGATCCCACATCGCTGCTTGCGGAGCTCGAGGTGAGATGCGCCTCTCTTCATGTTCTCTAAACATTCCTGCCTTTCTCTTTCTTCGTGCCCCTCTTTTCTTTTCACTTCCCCCCAACTTCTCCTTCTCCGCTCCGTCTGCTGTCCACCTTGTCTGCTTTCTTGCTGCATTTGCCTGTCCTCTTCCCCCGCCTTCTTCAACCTCCCACCTTCCCTGCTACCTCTCTTCCTTCCCCTCTCTCCCAACCCACCCTTTCCCAAACCTTCTCCCCCCATCCTCCTCCCCCTCCCCCATCCCCTCCCCCTCCCCCTCCCCTCCCCCTCCCCTCCCCCTCCCCATCCCCCTTCCCCTCCCCCTCCCCATCCCCATCCCCCTCCCCCTTCCCCCCCCAGGCGGGGCTGTCCTCCGCGCCCCCCCCCTCCGCGCTGGACCCCTTCGCGTCAGACAGCATGGCGGACGCGTTTGGGGCGGACCTGGAGGCGGAGGGGCTGGGGGGACTCGCCGCGCTGGGGGACGACGAGGGGGACGACGCCTGGGGGACGGCCTTCGGGGGGAGCGCGCTGCTGGGGGGGGATGGGGACGCGTGGGGGGGAGGGCTGGACGCAGCAGAGTTTGGGGTGGAGCAGGGGGAGGAGGACGCGTTTGGGCTGGGCGGCGGGGGGGACCTGGGCGCGGCGCTGGGGGGGGGAGAGGGGGCGGCAGGGGGGTCAGCGGTGGCGGCTGCACGGCAGCTGGAGGTGGCACTTGGGCTGGGCGCCATGGATGGTGAGCTCTGCGCACTCAATGTCTTGATGTCAATTATTATCCCCCCCAATCTCCTTTTGCCGACTCAAAAGCCGTATCTTCTCGCCTTTTCTGTTTCCTCCCCACCCCTTCCCTTGCAGTGTCAACCCCAGCAGCCAGCACGCCGCCAGCAGCAGCAACACCGGCCACGCCAGCGGGCCCCACACAGCCCACGTTCCGCGTGGAGGAGCGCATCAGTGCGGACTTCCTCGGGTCCTCGCTCACGCGCGTGCGCCTCTCCGGCACCGTCTTCCTCGCCCTCCCAACGCCCAAGGCCGCAGCGCTCGCTGCAGGGGGGGCGATGGGGGGTGGCGGTGGCGCTATTGGTGGGGGAGGCGGGGGGGGCAGTGGGGCGGGGGTGGGTGGAGGAGCGGAGAAGGACGGGAGTGTGGCGGACGAGTTCTCCTTCCGATTGGAGGGCTCTGGCGCCATCAAGGTGCGTGCCCTGCCTGCTCTGTTCTGCAGGAACCCTTGCCTCTCCTCTCCTCCCCCCACTGCATTCCCTCACATGTTCCCCCTCCCGTCCACACGCCCCTCTGCTGTCCCTCTCCTCCGCTTCTTGTCCATCCACCCCCTCCCCCACCCTCTCCCCCCCCCTTCCTCCCAGCGCTGCACCATGCGCCCAGGCATAGTGAGCGACCTGGGGAAGGGTTATTTCCACTTCCGCATGCCTCCCCCCGGCACCACCTTCCCCCCGCTCTCCGCCCCCTCTGCTGTCACAGCCTCCCCCCAGCCACCCCCCATGGCGGACCTGCTGGGGGACGGGGACGAGGGCATGGGGGAGGTGGTGAATCCCCGGGAGGGGGATGCGTGGGGGCAAGAGGGGGAGGGGGCGGGGGGGGCGGAGGGGCGGGCGCAGGAGTTTGTGCTGATGAAGTATCGCCTGCAGCCGCGGTACACGCCCATTCCGCTGCGACTCAGGTGCGTGCGAGGCTAGCGTTTTCCCAGGATGGTGCTGTAAACTGTAGGTAGAAGCTGGACAAAGGTGTGATTCGAAAGGCGTGGACTCTGTTCTACAAAATGAATCTTGGTTTGGTCGGCTCAAAACGTCTTAGACTGTGGCTGAGCATGGATGGTTGGCTGGTTGATGCCTCTGGCTGGACCATCTGTGTGCTCCTTTCGCCCCCGCTCTCACCTCTCATTCAGTGTTGCTCTGTTCAACGTTTTCTTGTGCTTTGCCTGCCATCGCTGCCTGCCAGGTTCGTGACACGGAGGAGTGATGAAGCGCTCTCACTCATGATCCAGGTTCGTGCCTCTCCACTTGCTAGCAGGCCTCACCTCTTCACTTGCCAGCACCCCCTCCCTCTTAACCCCAGTTGTGCTCCACATGTCATTTGGCACATGTCAAATTGCACATGTCATTTGGCACATGTCAAATTGCACATGTCATTTGGCACATGTCAAATTGCACATGTCATTTGGCACATGTCAAATTGCACATGTCTCTCACTCCCAGCATTCCTCTTATCCAAGCACACGCCCCACCTGTAAATGATGTGCGTGCGTATGGCCAATCCATGCATTCTCGCGCACCTACACACACACCCCCCTGCGCCCCCTCCTCGCAGTACGTGGCGAACCCGTACCTGCAAGCACCGCTGATGAATGTCACCTTCATCCTCTCCCTCGCCTTCTCCCCTGCCTCTCTCCGCCTCAACCCAGAGTAAGCTCCTTCCCTCCACAAGCAGCATTTTTATTAACCTAACCGCAGGATTTGCCATTTTGGCATCTTGTTCCTGCGTGCAATGTTTCTCGCATTCATTTACCTGGTTGATCCCTGCAGAATGGTCAAACCAAGCCCACCTGCGTGCATGTTTCCTCTTTCCTGTGTTGCCGTCTCCACTCGCCGTGATCCCTTACTTCCTGGCAGGGCACAGCTTGACCCATGGACTAAGGAGCTGAGGTGGCATGTCCCACAAATCAATGTATGTGCCATCACCCACATCAATGCTCCCAACCACTCTTCCTGACAACCCCTGCTCCCATTTCCCACTCCATGTACTTCCATTGTCGCATTTTGTTGACCTTTTTCAGCCAGAATTTTTCCTCCTTAACTCTGCTCCAGCAACAATCCTTTCCTCACCTTCCAAATCCACCCCCGGCTCTTTCTTCCACCCACCCAACCACCCACCCCACCATCTGCCACCAGTCCAATGACCCACCGCAGCGCCTGAGGGCTCAGATCCCCGTGATTCCAGATGACTTGGTGCACGGGGCGGCAGAGAGGACAGCGGAGGAGAAGCAGGCGGAGGAGGACCGCAAGGCACGGGAGATGGCGGCATACCGCGTGCGCGTGGAGTTTGAGTGTAGAGGGTCGTCGCTGTCAGGCGTTACTGTGGGTGAGGTTATGGCTTCAGGCAAGCCACCATTTGCTGTGGCAGGGCATTCGTTTTCCTCTTCTGAGTATATCTGCTCGTGAGGTAGTCGTATGGCATTGTTCTCGGACACGAGCCTATTAAAATTATCACAATTCACAATGCTTATACACGGAGGTTTTATGATACTAGCCAGTGCCTAAGGTACAGAGGATGCAGTACCATTATTGAATGGACACCTTCACTAGAAATTCAATCTGGAGTTTGAAATGGCAGCATCTAGGGGGGATTAGGGCAGAATGGGACGGACATACGGTAATACTAAAGCAAGAGGAGCTAATGAAGCCCATGTGGAGGAATGTATCAAGATGCTGTATGTGCCCAGGCGATGCACACAGGCACGCTGAAAGACAGGTGAAGCAAATCAGTTGCAGTGACAACGGGAGCAGACGTAATAAACTCCAAGACTTGCATCAGACAACCGCAGGGACGGGCGAAGGAGGACCTCTAACAAGCTGCATCCGACGGACGCACGGAGCTAATCGTCTTAAATGGCCGTTGGAATGGGAACAGTACTTCTTCCTCCAAGGAACGACAGAAAACTTCCAGATTCATTGTCATCCAGGAAAAGGTCGTCAGGGACCCTGAAGGCGGCGTGCGCAGCGATCGCAGCAGCACCCATCACCAGACCCGACATGAGAATAGATCCGACGGACGTCAGCCCGAAGACGACAACGACGGATATGACCGCCATGGCAAGAAACTTCTCGCGTTCGTTAAGGGTCCTTCCAGCGATGATCAGCGCATCCGTACGAGCCATGAAGATATATACCCAAGCGGCTGCGAGGAGAGCTAGCCAGAGAATGGCAGTCGGATTCCAGAGCATGCAGAGAATAACGACGACAATAAGGATCGAGAGGTAATTCGCCTGAAAGTAACTAGTATTTTTGCGAATTCTCCCAAGCGCATCGTTAAGGTTGTCGGGTCTCGCGAACAGTGACCGATCCGTCAGCTCGCTCCATGGCCGCTGCTGCGCTATCGCATTCCGATAAGAATCCTGGATTTTAGCTACAAGCGCCCGCATCCCTGTCGGATTTCCCTCTACCGCACCTCCAGGAACAGACGCCATAGCAGTTTATATTATTCTAGATCAAGCCGCCTTCGTCTGCCTGACTGCTCAAGGTCAAGAGTATTGGTGCCGACTAGATTTGCTGGAACTGATTCTGACTGGGCATGGAGAATTCGGTAGGCTGATTCTGACCGACCGTTCTGTGGAAAAGCTCCCAGCTGCACTTCACGTTTTGGCGATGTTGTTGTGCGAAGACAAATGTTACCCCTCGAATTCGCTCACCGGTGTCACAAAACAGACAGGTAGCAGAACCAAGATTTTGCCGTTGAGCCAGGTTCAGGTCGGGTCCGAACCTGTCACACAAAGTACTCGCCGAACCCCTACGCGCCCAACCTATACACTCACGGGTTGGAATTGCCGAGGTTCGGTGCTGCTTAGGTCCGCAAAAACTCTCACGACCAATCAGACACGGCCTCACATCAGATCTCCGAAACGCGTACCGCTTGCTAGGGTGTGTCAGCTCCGCCTGTGCACCTCGGTGTTGGCCATCATACACCGCCCTTCGTTTCCGCCATCAAACTCGTGAAGACACTATTACATATTCACTGGCTTCTGTTTCGCAGCAACCAGATTTCAAGCTCTTCTTTTTTCAGATTCTTAGCTCACCAAGGATTACGACTGTCGCACACTTGCAGATCGCTCTTCGTGCTTGGCAAGTATTTACTGTCTCCTACCTCGATTCACTGCCAACTCTTCATTTAGCCTGCCATTCTCATCCATCCATCAACTAGCCTTGATTGACTAGCTCTAGACAGTGTCATTCCATGGCAGCTGTTGCTCCAGGAGTCTCCATGGCTGGAAACCCATCGGCTTCCGCCGTACGGTCGCTCATAACCAAAGTTCAGGAGTCATATGCTGCAGCCACCGCTCAGCAGCGTCCGTGGAACGAGCTCATTGACCGCTCCAGTTTAGCCAAGCCTGAAAGCCTGAATGACGCTCTCAGCCGGATTCGCAAGAACCTGGGCTACTTTCGGGCGAATTACCTGGGCATTCTCATCGCGGTAGTCGTCCTCAGCATGCTCTGGAATCCAACAGCTATTTTGTGGCTGGGTCTTCTCGGATCTGGCTGGGTGTACGTGTTCATGGTCCGCACGGAGCCGATCATTGTCGCTGGAAGAACGCTGAACGAGCGGGAAAAGTTTCTTGGGATGGTGGTAATCTCCGTGGTTGTCGTCTTCGGACTGACATCAGTGGGCTCCATTCTCATGTCCGGGGTTGTGATAGGCGCCGTGGCCATCACCGTGCATGCAGCATTCAGGGTTCCAGATGACCTGTTTTTGGACGATTCGGATTCTGCTGGGTTTTTGTCGTTCCTCGGTGGAAGGCCCCAAATGCCTCCTGCCCTCTAATTTAGTCAGGCTAGAGTCAGTAAGAAAAGTTTTGAGATTTTAGCAGATATCTCTTAGTTTAAGTAACTCAATCTTATCTTTTGTAATGGGGCAAAGTACTTGTCTTCCACAGGGGGTGTATGCTACAATTGCCCATTTCGGTATGAAACGACAATACAGCCAGTCAAAGCAGTGCAAATACCTCATGGGTGATGGAGGAACACAAGACAAGACATATGGACATGACTAAACTAATGATTGGCCTGGCAGCTGCCATACACATGAATAATCATGGAGATTATACATTCATGGGTGTCACTCCCAGTGTGCAACCAGGAAAAACACGATGCACAAAGCAGGTTCTACCGTACTTCTCTAACCACTGCATACATTCGGAACATGACAAACATTCCTTCTACTCAGGATTTTGTCCATGGCGAGCAAGCCTTAACTAAAAGGCGAGAAACCCTTTCTTCTCCTCCGGAAGCACAACCACATCCATCTGCTCCCCTTGAGCCAGCCGCCAAGCTGCAGCCTCCATTGCCAGGCCTGCCATGGTAGGTGGCTTCTTTAGCACAAGCGGCATTCCCTGGTTGGATGCACCAATGGTTGCTGTGTCTTCCGGAATAACCCCCAACAGCGGAAGTCCCTGCATGATCACATTGACACATCATACCAAGAAGGGTTTGGGGGGAGGGGGGAAAGGGTAGGGGGGAAAGGAAGACGGGAGGGAGGGGGAGGGAGCAGCATGGTCAATGGACCTACAAAGCAGTACACGGCTGGTGTGGCCAGGAGAGTAATTCAAGAGCATACCTATCCTCAGCCAGTTCACCCAAAACGTCTACGTCTCGTTTGTCACTTCAAGATGATTTTCTCGCACGCAAACAAAGGGAAGGTGAAAAAACAGCACAGCACTCAGAAGTACTTGCAAAGGGAGGGAGGAGGAAATGGGTTGGAGGAAACGAGCGAGTGATGGGAACGGGGATTGAAAAGGGGGCGGAGGGAGGGTTAAGGAGAGGTGCGGAGCCAATGGACTCACGAGCATTTCCCTGACGTCCCCGACGGACATCATCTGGCCTTGCTTGATCAGATCTGCCTGCACGCGGTTCACCAACAGCGACACGTTCGTTATGCCGTCGCACTCCAACAGCCCCGCAACCCTGTCCGCATCCCTCAGACACGTCACGTCCGGCGTGGTCACGATAATCGCCTCGTTGGCCGGCGTAATTGCTGTTATGAAACCAGCTTCGATCCCCGCTGGACAGTCCAGGAGAATGAAATCTGGGCACCCCTCCTCGCGCTCTCTTAAGGCTTCCACAAGGAGAATCAGCGACTTGCCGCTGAAATTCAAATCAATCTTGGACCGAGGTTTGGAAATGCAAAGAAGCTCGAAATTGGGGACGCGCTTATCGCGTACAAGCGCCTGATCAAGTCGAGCCTCCCCTGCCAACACATCTTGAACGGTGTGGAATACCCTAGCCTCCATCCCTAAGAGCAAGTCGAGGTTCCTGAGACCCACGTCGCAGTCTATCGCGACGACTTTAAACTCCAACCGAGCCAGGCACATTCCGATATTAGCTACCATTGTCGTCTTTCCCACGCCGCCTTTTCCCGAAGTCACCACTATGACACGTGGTGGCGTTCCTTTATACTCCGGCCGCTTTCCCCATTGGAACACCGCCTGCGGCGAGCTCCAAAGCTTCCGTCTGGCGACCTTCCGCTGCGGTTGGAGGCCTGATGCTGCAGGAATGGAAGCCGGTTGAAACCGAGGCAGAGAATCTCCAAAGAAGGAACTGGTGGTGTTACTCCGCGAACAAGATTTGGTACTAGTCTGGAAACGTAGATTAGGTTGATGGGTGCAGTGGGGGGAGATCGATGCGCTGGGAGCCATCGCCATGCACGCAGTGTTCTGACGTGCGGAAGGAGATGCAGCGTCGGTGGATGAGAAGAACCGAACCTGGTTGACTGCTGGTCTGAGGGAGGACGCTGCCATTTAGCGCTAGGAGAATTGCTTCTAGATAAATGAAAATTGAAGGGACACCTCGGAAGCAGCGTCAAAGGGGAAGTGTTATCACCACGCCTTTATGAGACTAGATGTGGCAGAGGCACGTGCATCACGAAGAAACGGCGATACTAAGGCGATGCTGCAGTAACTACGGCAACGGCGCACGTTCACGTCGAGCTAAATAGCTGCTGGTTTCTATATACCTAGTTACCAAGTGTTTCATCGACTCCGGATTTGATGGACCATAGCGAGCGGAAGAGGAACATGAGATGCGCTTAGAGCAGGTGAACGAGCGGGGGGAAAAAGCGGGAGAATGGGGGGAAGCGGCGTAGGGTGCTGGAAATTCGCGGAACGCTTTTGTGAAGGAAGGGGGGATCGGGATTCGGGATTTCGCGGGGAGGTTTGAGCTGACTGACAAACAGCTTCGGCGGGCAAAGGGAACTCCGATCATCCCGCGATGTGATGGAGACGAGTATATAGCGGGTGGGTGCATCGGTACTGAATTCAAAAAGCATCTACAGAAATTATTACAAGTCTGGAGGACTATCATTGGAATATCCTTGAAAATGTAGCTCCAATTTGAGTGAAAGCTTGGCATGTGAGACCACAGCACCCTCTATACTATTCTATAGAAGTGCCTCCTACGTAACCTATACGGTAATCTATCCACTCTATACAAAAAATGTGCAATCACAGCTGCACATCTATGGGCGGTCATTATGATGATTTGTTAGTGACTAGATCGTGTTAGTGACTAGATCAGGGCTAATTTTTGGTTTTAAGCAACCCTTATCATCAGTCCTGCACCTTTCCAAAACCCTGATTATCAGTGTGACCCCTAGGGAAAATTCTTTTCCATCAGGGTTTTCCATAGTTTCAAAAAAATTACCCTTATGCCACAGTGTAACAATTTTGAATACCCTGATGAAGTGTTTCTACGGAAGTTCCAAACAAAAACTACCGACCGGGCCACTCCAACGCGAATATTCCGATAGCTCAAAATTCAATGCTGTAATCCATTCTACTGGGACAGAAGTGCGAAGGCGAATTGGTGGGGAGGGGGTTAGGGGGGAGGGTTGTTACGCGCTTCAGGGTAAAACTCGTTATGAAATCGGTAACCCTGAGTCATCAGTGTGCCTTAAATGTAAACCCTGGCATATCAGGAAAATTCTAGCTCCCGAAAAAATTACCCTAGGCCATCAGTGTTGTTGGAAACAATCGGTCCTAAGCGCCTCTGTCGTGTCGAAACACTAAGACACAAAAGAAACGAAGTATAACGAATCACCGGCGAGTCAACCCTCGGAGGTTGAAAGTAACTGTTGGAGGTTACACGAAAGCCAAAGGTCAGCGACCTTTGGCCTGACAAATACAGCGCGACAGCAAGGACACACAACTGACTCGCTACAGAGCAGTTGCCCGAGTCGTCACTGTATCGAACCACAACAGCAATACAGTTATAACTGCATCTCTTCGTATTCCTTGTACTCATATATAAACCTGTATCCACTTGTTTTAATCAACTTACTTTGCCCTCACATACTAGCGCAAGGTAGTTCACAACTCTTTAATTAACGCTTCCGCTACTACACCAACTCTACCCAGAGTTCACCCCTGCAAAGATCCTAAGGGCTTTCTCAGCCCAACATGGTATCAGAGCTATCAGGGGGAATTCAACTTCTATACCGACAACATCAACAAGCATGGCTACACAAAAGGAAAGGAGCAACTCCAACGGCTCCCAGGGCACTACTCCTACTCCACCTCCTGCCTTTGGCCTACAGACAGAGGAAGGCACGGCAACAAGACCCAGAGCAACATCTACCGAGACTCCCGCGAATCAACCTGCAGACTTCGACCAGAGCATGATGGAGAAGTTTTTCTCCTTCATGTCCTTCTACGAGCAACACCAGCAATCGGCACCTGCGCAGTCACACAACAGCAACAACAACGGAGCAACACCCATGAGTCTCGACGGCTCATCATATGCACGAGGAAATCAACAACAGCAGCCTACCTTTGCTCCGTACGAGCGCGGGTCCATCAGCTTTATGCCACACCCACAGCCTTCACCTGGACAAGAAAAATCACTGGACGCATTACAAGTTCAGTCGCAGTTCGCACACGTTCTGAAGATGCAGACGTCAAGACCCTTCGATGGAAATGACTTCTTCACCTGGTCGTTCGAGTTCGAGCTGATGATGGAAGGCGCGCAGATACTCGGGTTCTTCGACGGGTCTCTGCCATACCCAACAAACGGCACACAGTACGAGAAGCAGCAGTACACCTATCAGTCAATGATGGCGTACACGATCCTACTGAGGAATATCACCCCGACTCAACAGCAGAACATAAGGTCTTACCGAGGTTACGGCAACTCCGCGGAGCTCGCGTACAACCACCTGAAGAGCCTGTATCAAGCAACAGACAGCGTAAGCCAAAGTCGGTTAATGGCGCAACTGACAACGGTTGAAATGAAACCAGGGGAGAAAGGAATGGCGTATATCAGTCGATGTCGCGAGTTGCGCGACAAGCTTCTTCGATGCGGAGGGTCGATTTCTGAAGACGCCTTCGTGACAGTCATCATCGGCGGCCTCGGTCCTCAATGGCGCGCCACAAAGGCCATTCTCCGAGCTCACGGAAGAATCTCCGAAGCAGCGCTCTGCGCCGAAATCCACGCCGAGCAGCAAGACATGGACCTGCAAGAAGAACGACACAAAAAGAAGACATCAGCACCGGAATTCGCGTTCCACACTCAGCGACGCTACAACAACAACAACAACCGGCAGCAACAACCGAAGCCAGTACCTCCGTTCTGCCACATCTGCAAAACTTCAGGACACCCGCGTACGCACTGCCCGAATCGTCAACAGTCAACAACTCCACAGCGGCAACTTCGACCTTCAAGCAGCCAAATCGCCTCAACGCAAGCAAATCCCACGACCCAGATTCAAGCCTCAACGACTTCAACGGGACAACCTGCACAAGGAGCAAGAAACATCGTCAGCTGCATGGCAAAGCTGAGTGACTCCTGCATCACCGAGTCACCACCACACTACTCACCGGAAGAACAACTCGACGAAACCACACCCCGCCGCGAGTCACTTCAGCCGAACCCGACATACGCCGCCATCGCCTAAAGCGAACCATCCGGAAAGGACACATGGTTCTTGGACAGTTGCTGCGGACAGCACATGTGCTCCTCGGGACGCTTCGTTCAACGAGAACACCAACTTCAACGCGAAGTTGTCATTACAGTCGCCAACAATCAGAACCTGCGAACACGACGACAAGGCGTAGTTCAACTTCAGTCAAGGGAAACAAACGTTATACTGCAGATGTCAAAAGTACTAATCGCGGAGGGACTCGGCTACAACTTACTGAGCGTCAGTCAGCTAATGGCGAAAGGGATTCACCTCGAAGCAGACAGCACCACCCAAGAATTCAAGCTGTATCACGGGAGAGGAGGACTTTACATCGGCAAGGCGGTCCTCAAGAACAACGTCTTCGTTCTTGATTTCGTTCCTGATCTTGGCACCGCCGACAGCGACGCCATCGTTAACTTCACCAACTGGACACACCCTCCAGACCTTGATCCAGACTTCAGTCCAGAAGGCTTCTGGTATTCACACACCATCCCTGAAGCAGAAAGAACAAGGGTGTTAGCAACAATTCAGACAACATCAGCAGCAGCAGAGACAACATCGGCAGCAGCAGAGACAACATCGGCAGCAGCAGAGACAACATCGGCAGCAGCAGAGACAACATCGGCAGCAGCAGAGACAACATCGGCAGCAGCAGAGACAACATCGGCAGTAGCAGAACCATCAACGGCAGCAGCAGGAACGTCAACACCAATTGCTGGTCCTTCAACGACACCGCTCCTCATCGACGACACACCACCGACACCCGCGCAACAACTACACCCAGCACCACGAGAAGTTCATCGTAGCGCCAACTTCACCGCCAACTTCTACTCCAACTCCGATATGTACCGACGATCACCCGGACATCGCGCCGACGAAAGCACCTGGCACGCAAGGATGGGACACCCAAGCAACACAGTATTAAACAATACGATAAGAGCAGGAGTACTCGACAAGGACTCACTCCTACTGACCGACGGACGAGAACTTCAACGAGTACGCGGAACGTGCTTCACCTGCCCTGAAGGTGACTTACCACATCGACCGTTTGCGTCTCATCACAACCCGAGCGCACCCACGTACGCACCACTCGAGAAGGTGTACAGCGACATCCTGTACAATCGGGAACCAGGACAAGTAATATACAACTATACAATCACCTTCATTGACGCCGCCACCCGTTACGTCTGGCAGCTAAACCTCCCTAGCCGCGACATGGCATTCGAAGCCTTCGTTGCCTGGCTACCAGTAGCAGAGAGAGAATCAGGCGTGAAACTGAAAAGCTTCCAGTCAGACGGAGGAGGAGAATACACCTCTCAGCGATTCAAGCAGTACCTGGCGGAAAGGGGAATCAAGCGGCTCATCTCCCTTCCCTACGCCCATCAGCAGCAAGGTGTAGCAGAAAGAATGAACAGGACCTTGCAGAACAGCATGCGCAAACTGTTACGTGGCATGCGGCTACCCAACCACCAGTGGCCTGCGGCAATGGACCACGCCGTCATGCTGCACAACTTGCTCTCGTCATCATCGCTTCCAAACAACGCATCACCGCATCTACTATGGACAGGGAAACAGGGCAGCACAAAAATGTTACGAGTATTTGGATGCATGGTACAGTACCGACCCCCAGCAGCACGAGCGGGCCGATTTTCTCAACGAGCACAGTGGGGACTACACCTGGGAATCGAAAAGAACTACAACGCGTGGAAAATCTTCGACGTCCATTCCAAGGAAACAGTAGCAGCACGTGATGTAATTTTCTACGAACGACTCATGCTCCAGACATACCTTGCCAACCTGCAAGAAGACCAGGATCCCACAGGTGGTTTTCGCGGTGACCGAGCCTTCGCCTCAGCAGCGGACGAAGCTGACTGGGACGAGCAGAATGTGGACAACGTATCAGAAGAAGCCGGACCTCTTCCGTTCTGCTCCGTCGACGTTCCCATGGACGAAGATAACCCTCGCGAAAGTGTCAACGCCGAAACCTTCTACTATTTCGCCGACAACGGTTACGTAACACCTGCGACAGTCAACACCAACGAAGCAGAACGAGTAGGACCGAACTTCATACCTGATCCAGAAGCGGGAGATGAAGCAGCTTATCCCGAGGACGCAAACCTTCCCCGCTACTCACAGAGTGGACTGCAAATTCTCGGACTCGTCACCGCAGTCCACGGCACCGCCATTCCTAAAGAGCCTGCGACAGTTCAACAGGCTCTAAGGGGGGAGCATAAGGAAAAATGGCGCGAAGCCATGGACAAGGAGCTGAAGGCACTGGAGGAACGCAACACGTGGAAAGTGGTTCCTATCGGCGTGGCACGGAACAAGACAGTGCTCACCGGGAAGTGGGTCTTCCGTGTGAAGACAAAGGCTGACGGCACCATTGACAAATTTAAAGCTCGCTGGGTTGTACGCGGCTTCGACCAAGAACACAGACGTGACTTCACCGAAACTTTCGCTCCGGTTAGCCGCCACACCTCACTACGCATTCTCCTCGCAATCGCCGCCATGAAGAAGAAGAAGCTGCGACAAATTGACGTCGCGAACGCGTTTCTCTACGCACCTGTTGATGCAGAAATTTTCGTCGAGCTACCGCACGGCTCCCACAGAGAACCCAACCAAGTCTGCCAGCTACTCAAGTCACTCTACGGCATCAATCAGGCTCCGCGACTGTGGCAACAGTACCTGCACGCTCGCCTCATCCGCATCGGCTTCAAGCAACTACCGCACGATCAAGGCATGTACCGGCTCACAAAAAACGACGACTACATCCTACTAATCGTCTACGTGGATGATCTCCTTTACATCGGCTCAACTGACGGCATCACTACCTGGTTCGAAGGGGAGCTGCAGCGAGATCTCACGCTCACAGTTTCATCTATCGTCACTCAGTGCCTCGGCCTCAACATCCGGGAAGAGGAGGACGCGATCTACCTCAGCGCCGAGAAATATGCCGACACCATCGCCAAACGCTTTACGCTCACACCGACAGCCATCTCCACGCCATACCGCTACACGGCAGGGAACGACAAAGGAAGCTCCGCTCTACTCAAGCCCGCCGGCATACGAGACTACCAGAAGAAGCTGGGAGGTCTTCTCTTCGCAGCCGTCACCTGTCGCCCCGACCTCTCATACTCCGCAAGCCAGCTCGCCACCTACCTCAAAAAGCCTGAAGCAGAACATCTGGCGGAGCTCGACCGCGCTCTTCACTACTTCGTCAGCACCCCAACGATCGGCCTAACTTACTACAAGAACGCAACCACACCGACTAAGTTAATCGGCTACGTCGACGCTGATCACGCTGGCGACTCCGACAATAGGCGCTCCCGCACCGGCTACATCTACCGCCTCGAACCTATCGGACCTATCTCTTGGCAGTCGAGCAAGCAGGAATTAATTGCTCTCTCGTCAGCTGAAGCAGAATATATTGCACTCTGCTCAGCCACCAAGGAAGGACTCTATCTTCGCGAGCTGCTGGAAGAAGCGAAGTTAGCCGAGTTACCCAACTTTACCCTGTTCTGCGACAACCAGTCGGCAATTCGCATCGCCAACAAGAACGGCTTCGCGAACAGGACGAAACACATCGCCCTGCGATATTTCTTCGTGAAGGACGAGATCGAGAAGGGAAGGCTCGAGCTGTCATACTGTCCCACGTCCGAGATGGCAGCTGACTACCTGACCAAGAAGCTCGGAAAGCAGAAGTTCGAATACTGCATGCTGCTGACTGGACAGAGCCACGTCAGCGACACTCCAGAAGCGAAGGGGAGTGTTGGAAACAATCGGTCCTAAGCGCCTCTGTCGTGTCGAAACACTAAGACACAAAAGAAACGAAGTATAACGAATCACCGGCGAGTCAACCCTCGGAGGTTGAAAGTAACTGTTGGAGGTTACACGAAAGCCAAAGGTCAGCGACCTTTGGCCTGACAAATACAGCGCGACAGCAAGGACACACAACTGACTCGCTACAGAGCAGTTGCCCGAGTCGTCACTGTATCGAACCACAACAGCAATACAGTTATAACTGCATCTCTTCGTATTCCTTGTACTCATATATAAACCTGTATCCACTTGTTTTAATCAACTTACTTTGCCCTCACATACTAGCGCAGGGTGGTTCACAACTCTTTAATTATCGCTTCCGCTACTACACCAACTCTACCCAGAGTTCACCCCTGCAAAGATCCTAAGGGCTTTCTCAGCCCAACAAGTGTGACTACCAAAAACCACCCTGATAATCAGGGTATCAGGGTGACTTACACTAATAAAATTTGCCCTGGACTAGATCGTGTTAATGATTATCGAGTTTAGTGACGGGCACGTATCGATAGCCTGGAGGCAAGTGTGCATTTAGGGCACGCGCTGCCGCATGTGTAGCGAGGTATGACAACTGCAGCTGCAAGCATACACAGAGCCACAGGAGCACACAGGGGCACAAGCATGCACACATAAGCAAACATGCGTAGCCCATGATGTATAGCTTAACACCAAAAAGACGTATTGCAATGGCAATTACCACACACAATGCTTGCCTTACCTTCAACAATGGCCTAGTCGTCACACCCCCTGCTTGCTTTTCCTGCGAGCTTTGTTCCGATCCACACGCCTGTCTCCCTGCTCCACCCACCATCACCCTACCCACTCTATCATCATCCCCACCCTCCCCCTCAGCCACTCCCACACAGCGTCTCTTCTGATCCTCATGATCCACGAAGGAAACTGAAGCTCGGCGCTTTGAGGGAAACAGAGGTGCGTTGGAGGGGAGCAGGGAGGTGCTACTAGGGAGGCGGGATTGCTGGGAATGGGGGTCGAGATTTCGGATGCCGGAAGCTGCTGCATGCTCTGGGCAGTACAAGTGAATTTTCACAGCTGCCCGAGTGGGTTTGACAGGGACTGCAGTGGTGGCAGTGGGTGGTGGAGGAGGAGGGAGTGCTGCTGCGAGAGAGGGGGGAGGATGGGAGGGCACTGGAGCAGGAATGGAAGGAGTGGAGGAGAGAGGAGGAGGAGGAGGAGAGGAAATAGCAGCAGGTGCTGCAATGGCAGGAGAATTAGCAGCGGCGATACCAGCGGCGGTGGGACAGGCTGTTGGGGGAGGAGCAGGAGAGACAGCGGCAGTGGTGGGGGCAGTGGCGCGGGTTGTGGCAGTGGCAGTGGCGGTATAGGGAGGTGGGATAGGAGTGCAGACAGGAGGGGACTGTTGAGGTGGCTGTTGAGGTGGCGGGGGAGTGGAGAGGCGAGAGCAGTGGCGCGCACACATGGGATGCATTACACGGGGGCAGCCTGGCGTGGTGCACTGCGGGCAGCGAGGAGGTTTGGATGGGGGAATAGGGAGTCGGGGAACGAGGGATGGGGGAACAAGGGATAACGGGAGATAAGGGATGGTGGATAAGAGAGAGCAGGGGAAGGTGGGATGAGAGGAGAGGATTGAGTGGGGAGAACCCTGTGGAGAGGAGAGCGTGTTAGAAGTGGGGAAAAACAGGAAGATATAGAGAGGAGGTTATACAGAAGATATCACACAAGAAAAAGGGTTCCTGACCATTTTCTCAAAAGGGTTCCTGACCATTTTCTCAGCCCCCACACCCGCTTCACACCCCAATCTGGCCTCTCTCAACCCACTGGGACCGTTTCACACCCCTGGCAGCCCTCCTGCAATCTGCAATCCGTACCTGCGTGCATGGGTGTGCAGATGAGGAGTGGCAGAAGCAGCAGCGGCGCTGCTGTATGGTGGGAGGGACGGCGCCCTGATGGTCCGTGGTGGGATGATGTGAGGGGGAGAGAGGAGGAGTGGAGTGAGCGGGATTAGCACAACGAGGGTGGGAGAGGGGGGGTGGGAGAGGGAGGGGAGGAAGAGAGGGAAGGAGCTGAGGCAGGGAGAAGCAAGTGTGGGATGGAGAGATAGCATGAGTGTGGATTGAAGGGCCTTAGCATCCCTTGAACCGAGATCACCATGCGTGTGTGCTACCTTGGAAAGGTGTGTGCTTCAAAGGAGGTGCCTGTAACGAGGGCTGCAACCCTAAACTTCAAACGAGTGCCCTCCGATATACTCACAGTGGGGCAAAGGGGTTCATCCTCGGGCGCACCCAGCACAGCACAGTCAGGAAACAGCACCTGGAGGGAAGAGGAGGGGTCGAGAGGAATGGTGGTGGGGAAACCGATATTCAGCTTGAGAAAAGACGCCTTCAAGTGGGTGAGCGGGTCAGTGAGTGAGTGGGTAAGTGAGAAACTGAGCGAGTGAGTGCACGAGTGAGGGGGTGAGTGAGTGGTCAAGTGAGTGAGTGAATGAGTGAACGAGCAAGTGGGTGAGTGAGTGAGTGAGTGGGTGAGTGAGAGGCATACCTGAGCGCACAGCAGATGCACCCACTCGCCCTGCTCTGTTCGCTTCACTGCCAGCCACCCCGAATTCTCCACCCTTCCTTTCCCCTCCCCCTCCCCGCTCCCGCTCATGACCCCAACCTTCCCCCCATCTGCACCACTTCCTCCTCCACCTCTTATCTCTATCACCCCATCCCTTCTCGCTGTCCCCTCCATCTCCTCCTCTCCCCCACTATCCACTCCCTGCGAGGTGCCTGCCCTTGAAAGCACAACATCTACCCCTCTACTGCCCCCCTCCACTCTCACTCCCTCTCCTCCCGTCACCCCATCAATGCCCCTCTTTTCCACTCCCTCCCCTCCTTCTCCACTCCCCACCTCCCCGAGCACTGCTCCTGCCTCTCCCCCTTGTCGTCTCCCAGCCTCTGTGCTATGCTTCTCCCTTTCCTTTCCCTCACCCACCTCCCCTCCCTCTGCCCCCTTCCCCCTTTCGCCCCTCTTCCTCTCCTCGCCCCCCTCCCGGTTCTCCTGCCCAGCAGCGCCCAGGCACACAGCAGGAGAGCAGAGGGCACATGGGACATGGGGGGGAGAGGGCATTGGTGACGGGAGGGGAGGCGGGTGGGGGGGTGCAGGTGAGTGGGAGTCAAGTGGAGGAGGGCGAGACTGCTGTGACCTCTGCTGCTCATGCTGCCGCTCCGCTTGCTGCTCCACCTGCTGCTGCTGCTGCTTTTGCTGATCCTGCTGTTGATGCTTGTCCCGCTCTTCCCCCTTCACCATCCAATCCCAGCGGCACACCTGGCACAACCATGGCTCTAACTTCCCCTCAGGCACACCGTAACACCAATGGTGAACTGCCACGTGGCACTTTCCGCACTCAATCATGCTCCTGTGCGGCCCACACTCCCTCTGCCAGCACGCCCCACACTCCCTCCACAAACCCCCCTCCTCTCCCTCACCTTCCCCATTGCGCTCCCCTTCCTCCTCCTCCTCCACTGCCTCCCCCACCTCCCCATACCTCGCTGCACCACTCTCCATCTGTCCATCCCCCTCAACACCCACACCATTCAACAACCCCGAAGACACATCCAATCTCCTGCCCCAACCCACTCTCCCTCCCACTCTCCCTCCTCCTCTTCCCCCAACTCTCCCCCCCACTCGCCCTCGCCCTCCCCCTGTCCATGCCCCACGCCCCCGGCCCCTGCCCCGGCCCCACGAACCTCTCCCCCTGGCCCCTCTGGCAGCACCGGCAAGCCCAGGGCGGGCTGATGCAGAGGGGAAGAGGGAGGGGCGGGACGCCAAGGGGGATGCTTGCACCCGCCCTGCATCAGCAGCCGCACCTGTATCACCACCACCACCACCACTGGCAGCACCAACACCACCAACCGCTGCAGCAGTGGCAGTACCACCGTCAGCAGCAGCAGGAACAGCAGCAGAGGGGCTGCCAAACGCTCCCCCCAGCCTCGTCATTCCCGCACCCGCTCTCCCTCTCCCTCCTCCCCATCCCCTTCCCCACGCCCTCCCACCAAGCCCCCAAGAAGGAGACACACCACCCACACCACCCGCACCACTACCCATACCCGCAGCAGCAGCAGCAGCAGCAGCACCTGCAGCAGGACCAGCAGCAGCAAGAGAAGAAACGCCCGGAGGACTAGCAGGAGCAGCAGCACCCACCCCAGCAGGGCCTCCAGGGTCGCGCTTCAGATGCCCCACACGCGGAGACGCAGCAGCAGCAGCCTCAGCCGCTGCCAGCACAGCCTGGGCCTCTCTCTCCCGCCGGTCCCGCCGCCCCTGCTTGCGCTGCTCCCTCAGCACGCCCAAATACTCCTCAACTGCCGCCTTCCCCTGCTGGTGCGCCTCTGCTGCTTGCCTCTCCGTCTGCAGGCGCGGTAGCATGCGGTGCAGCAGGTGTTGAGAGCGGTGGGAGAGGGTGTGCAGGACGGACAGCAGCTGGGTCTGTGCTATGATGAGCTCTGATGTGACCTCGTCCTCAGGTGTACCTCCCTCAGGTACCACCGGCACCAGTGCGTTACTTGATACAATCAGAGGTGCTCCCCGTTCCCTACTGCCCACTTTCTGCTCCCCTCCTTGCTTCTCTTCCTCTCTGTTGTCTCTTCCCCCCTCCTCTTCCTCCCCTTCTCCTTCATCCTTCACACGCCCCAGACAGCTTTCTCCCTCCCCCCTCTCCATTCCCTCGTTTCCTGACGCCCCCATTCGCTCCCCACCTAACCCCTGCAGCATTTCGGCATATCTCTGCACATACGCATGGCACCGCACCTGCTGACTCAGTGCCAGCGCAGCAGCGCCCTCCCATCTAGGCCATTCCACGTCTGCCTCAGCTTGCTTTGCTGGCACCACATCGGCACATGCGACTGGCGTCACAGCAGAACCAGCAGCCACTCTTGCTTCACTACGCACGCTCCTTCCTGCAATCTCTGGCGGCCCATTCATTGACTCTGCTCCTGCTGCTCTCACCTCCCCCCTTGCTTCAACTGCTCTTGTTGCGTCCACCTCCTCACTTCCTGATCTCTCTTCCAGCACCACCACATCATCATCATCTGACTCCTCTGCGCCTACTGCTGCTGCCACTGTATCAACTCCTGCTGGTGCCCCCCCTGCTACCTCCCCTGCTGCTGCCTGTGCTGCTGCTGATGACGCACTTGCATCCTTCATTATGACATCACCACGTGCAGCATCAGCATCACCAGCACCACAAGCATCACCAGCACCACAAGCACCACCACCATCATCACAACCACCACCAGCACAAGACCCAACATTCCCTCTGTTCGTCCCCCTTTCTGCATCTGCACCCTCCCTCCCTTCCTCCCTCCTCCTTCCCTCTTCTCTTTCTCCCTCCTCTCTCTCCACCAGCATTCCATTTCCTCCGCCCCTCTCCCCCTCCTCAACCCCATCCATCTGCCCGGTTCCTTGCCCCTCGCCCACCACACGCACGTCATTGCCAGTACTCTCCAACCGGCAAGGCCCATACCCATTGGCCGAGCTTCCTTGCAGCCCCCCCTCCTTCTTTACCCCCACTTCTCCTCCCTCCTCTCCGACCTCCCCTCCCTCCCCTTCTTCCCCACCCTCCTCCTCTCCCTCATCCGTTTCCTCCCCATGCCTCTCAACCCCCCTGCTTCCCTCCCCCATTCCCACCCACCCCAATCCCACCGCTCCCCCTACAACCCCCCCATCCACCCTTTCGCCCTCCCCCCCACCACCTTGCCCCCTCTCACCCGCCCCAGCACCTGCCCTCACCCTTCCCCCTTCCTTCCCCGCCTCCCCACCCTCTCCCCCTTTCCCTCCCCCTCCGCCTGCCCCTGCCTGCAGCTGCTGCAGCAGGGGGGGGAGGCGCAGGGCGGAGTGGCGGGGGCAGAAGGCCTTGAGGAGCACGCGGGGGGAGCAGGGGGAGGCGGAGAGGTTCATGAGGAGCCCCCCCTGGCGCGCGCACATGGGGTGGAAGGGCACTGCGCACATGCCTGGGGGGAAGGAGGGGGGGTGGGGAGGAAAGAAGGGGGGAAGGTGCAGGAGAGGGGGGAGAAAGGAGAAGGATGGGAGAAGCACAAGAGCAGGGTAACTGGGCCGATCGGCATGTGGGAAAGAGGAAAGGCGACGCAAAGAAGTGAGTGTCAACCACGCACGGACTCAAAGCACAGCCCTGCCTGCAACTTTTGACAATTCTCACAGCCCTGCCTGATTCAACCCACTGTGGGTGCATTTTGCCCTGCCTGCAGCGGCACAGGCAGCACAGAGCATGCAACAGCACTCCTCACTGACCTGCCACGTTGCACTGGATGCTTCACTCAACCCACCGTGGCTTACCCACCACTCACCGTGGCTTACCCATCACTCACCGTGGCTTACCCACCACTCACCATGGCTGCATTGGATGCAGGTACCCTCCTTAGAGCGGCAGAGGCAGCACAGCATGCGGCGGCGCTCCTGGGTGACGCCCCCCACGTTGCACACGGGCTGCATGCTCTCTGGGTCGCCCACGTACGTCTCCGGCACCCACTGGCTGCAGAACAGATGCGCGAATAGCTCATCCTGCTGCTCGTCCTGCAGCTGCTGCTGCTGCTGCTGCTGCTCTTGCTGAGCCTGTTGCTGCTCCCCTTGTTTCTGCTGTTGCTGCTGCTCTGCTACTGGTGCAGTGGGCTCCAAGGAAGCAGAGGGAGGGGCGCCGGGGAGGGCGGGTTTGAAGGCACCGGAGAGCACGGGGCAGAGCGCACAGCGCACCTGAGCGGGCCGGCTGCTGCTGCACCGCGCACACAGCCACGGCAGACTTGCCTCTTCCTCCTCACCATCCCCGCCCTGCTCCCTACCCTGCTGCCCTCCTCCCTGCTCTCCGCTCGTGCCTTCCTCTCGCTGCACGGGCAGCAGGGCAGCAGGGGGGATGCCGTAGCACTGGCGGTGAACAGCCACGTCACAGCCATCGCAGAACACAATGGGGTTCGCATCGTCGCTCTCCGTCTGGCAACACACGTCACACGCCTCCCCCTCCCCTCCCCCTTCCTCCTCCTCCGCTCCCCCCTCTTCTCCCTTCCCTCCCCCCTGCATCCCCCTTCCCGCGGCCTGAGCAATTGCCTGCGAAAGTGGGGGAGACACAAGCGTCACCAGCATCCCCTCCTCCCTCTCCGCCCTTGCTGCTGCTCCCCTGGGCCTTCCGCGCCCTGCTCTCCTCCCCCCTCTCCCTCTGCCAGCAGACGCAGGCGGATCACACGCAGCTAGAGCAGCAATATCAGCAGCAGGAACAGCAGCCGCCGCAGCAGAGGCAGGAGCAGCAGCAGTGGTGATGGCACGGGCAGCGCCAGGAGCAGGAGGTAAGGCTACAGGATGAGCAGCAGCGCCAGCAGCATCACCACGCTCCCCACCAGCATCCACACTGCAATCATGAGCACCACTGGCATCGCTACCCATGGCATTCTTGGAATTGCCAGCTAAAGCCACCGCAGTCGTGGCAACACAGTCAGGAGCAGCAGAAGCAGCAGCGCCACTAGCAGCACAGTCAGCAACAGCGCCAGGTTCTCCCACATGCATCTGACTACTTGCTCCTGTGTTGGCAGCAAGCGAGCCAGACTGCCTCTCACTAACAGCTGCAGCAGCACCAGCAGCAGCAGCAGTAACAGCAGCACCGCCACTGCCACCACCACCAGCCGCAGCACCACAAGCACCACCACTGCCAGCACCACCAGCACCCCCACCACCCCCACCGCCAGCCAGTCGAGTGCGTCTCCTCTTACTCCCAGGCACCACCACGGTCACATCGCCACCAGGCACCCCAACACCACTACTCACTGCAGCACTACTCACTGCACCGTCACTCACCCCAGCCCTGCCCCCCGCAGCAGCACCATCGCCTCCCTCCCCCACCTGCCCCCCCCTCCTCTTCCGCAGCTGTCTGTCGCTCCCCTCCGCCCTCACGGCCCCTCCCTGCTGCCTCTGCCTCCTCCGCTTCTGCGGCTGCTGCTGGCCTCGCTGTTGCTGCTCAGCCTGCTGCTGCTGTTGCTGCACCCCCTGCTGCTGCTCCCCCTGCTGCTGCTGCAACTGCGGCCCCTGCAGCTGCATCCCTTCCCGTCCCCCATCTCCCCCCGCTACCCCCTGCCCACCCTCGCCCGCCCTTCTCTCACCCCCTTGTCCCCCCAAACCCCCATCTCCTACTCCATCCCCCCTCCACGTCCCCTCCCCCTTCACAAGCCCCTGTTTCCCCCCCTGCCGTGGCACCACTGCCATCATCGCATGTGCCCCCCCTTCCTGTGCGCGCCCCTTTGAGGCCAGCACCAAGCGGAGGTCTAAGCGGGGGCGGTGGCCCGCAGGGGGCAGGGCAAAGGCGGGATCTCGTTCTGTGATGCGGCTGAAGTGTGCCACGTAAGCAGCAGGGGCGAGCAGCGCCACGTCAGTGGTGGTGACGGGGCGGAAGAAGCCCTCCACGTGGGCCCAAAAGCCCTCGCTTGGCCTCGGCCTTGGAGTGGCCACAGCAGCAGCAGCAACACCGGCAGCAACACCAGTGGAGTTGGTTAAAGCCAGCTGCTGCTGCTGCTGTATTTGTGATTGCTGTTGATGCTGTTGTGCTTGTGGCTGTTGTGAAGTCGGCAGCAGGTGTGGTGCGTGCTGTGTTCGTGGTGGGTGTGCTGACCGTTGGGAGTGTGTGATGGAGGATGGGTGAGTGGTAGGGTGAGAGGCACTGATTGTCTGCTGCTGATGAATTGTCCTATGAGACACATGAGGTTCGTTCTTCTCATGCCCATGCCCATCCCCATCCTCATCAGGCGACATATGCACATGCTCCTGCTTAACCATGGAGTCACGGCATGGGCTGCAACCATCAGAACCGCCCATAGCAGCACCACCTACAGCAGCACCGACCATGCCAGCGCCGCCCGCCTCTGAAGCACCCTGCGCCCTGGAGGGTACCTCCCATGGCTGGTGCGACGCAACTTCCCCTGCAGCCTCTTGCTTCGCCTCAAGAGCCGCCACTGCTCCCCCAGCTTCCTCCCTCTGCTCCCTACGTAGCGGCTGAGAGTGTATCGTCAAGGGCTGTTGTGATGGCAGCTGCTGTGCTGATGCTGCTTGTGCTGATGCTGCTTGTGCTGATGCTGCTTGTGCTGATGCTGCTTGTGCTGATGCTGCTTGTGCTGATGCTGCTTGTGCTGATGCTGCTTGCACCAGTGCTGCTTGTGTTGATGCTCCTCCCACTGACAGGTGTTGACCTGAAGCCTGTCTCGGGTCACTCACAAGCATCTGTGCCTCCGCCTGTGCCTCTGCCTGTGCCTCTGCTGCTTCCGCCTGTCCGCTCGGCTGCTTCCCTGCTCTCCCCACACCACCCACCCCCTCCTGCTTTTCCCCCTCCTCCCTTTCCTCCTCCTCCCCTTCCTCCTCCTCGTCTTCCTCCTCCTCGTCTTCCTCCTCCTCCTCTTCCTCCTCCTCCTCTCCCTTCTCTCCCTCCTCCTCCTCCTGCTCTTCCTCCTCCTTCCCTTCATCCGCACTCCCCCCTTCCTTACTCCCTTCACGGTCCCCCCCTTCCCCTATCCTGCCGTCTGTCCCCCCTGCTCGACCTGCGGCCCTCTCCCCCGCCCGCTGACCATCTCCCCCCGCCACCTCCCACGCTCTTAGCCCCTTCCCACCACTTGCCCGGCCCCTCTGTTCCCCCATTTGCCCATCCCTTTTGGCCTTAATCAGATTCACACTCCCACTCTCTCCCCCCGCCTCCGCATCTCCGCTCCCCGTCCCCCATTCCCCCCCTCCACCGACCACCTCCACCACGTCTGCTTCCTCTTGCGCCTCTCCCCGCGCCTCCCCCACTCTTCCCCCCATCCCTGTCTCATCGCAACCAGCGGAAGTAGAAAATCCTCCCTCCGCGGGAGCCGCCGCCCATGCAATCTGCCGTCCTGCGAGCCGCTGCCGCCGCCGCCTGCCGTCTAGAGCCCCCTCGGCCGCCGCCGCTGCGGGGGATACTTGCGCCGATAGCGCCGCGACGGCGCTTCCTGGGGGGGTTTCTGTGCGCAAAGCGCTGACCGGGTGTCCGCGTATGGGGGTTACGTCCGCAGCACGCGCGAAGGTTGGAGAGATGGGGGAAAGCGGAGGCATCAGGTTCGCTTGCGGCTTCTTCTCCGACTGACTCCTGTGCGCGCGCTTTCCGCCAGACGCCTCCCCCCGTCCCCCGCGCGCGGAAGTCCTTCCGCCCCTCCTTCGCCGCCAATGCCCGGGAAGTGAACCCTGACGGGCGCTGCCCGTGGGGTGAGGGGAAGCGGTGGCGGATGCGCTAGCATCGGGGAAAGCGGCGCGTTCGAGAGAGAGAACCTTGAGCGCCTGCGTGTACGTGTCCATGGCACGGCACGTGGACACGTGGATGCGTGGATGCGTGGATGCGTGGATGCGTGGATGCGTGGACTCGCCGACACGCTGACAGGCTGGCGCTCGACTCGGCTCGCTAGCGGCGGTTTAGGCGTGCGGGGATTGGGATTGGGATTGGCGGACTAACGGCGGATTGGGCGGAATTCTTCGAGGCGCTACGCGTAGGCTTGGACGCGGAACGGCGGTAGGCAAATGGCCGACGCATGATTGGCTCAGATACGAAGCCCGTGCTGACGTCAAGAAACGGCTGACGCGCAGAGCTCCAGATCTCGTCTGGAGAATCCGTGATGACGATGCGACGGCGGCGAGCGAGTAGAGTACAACTTTCCAAGGAAAGCACAACCTGTGACGAGCCTGAGCAAAGTGAAATCGTGCTGAATAATGTTGACGACTACACCACTTAATCCAACGGTATAACTACTTTCAGCATAAGTTACACCAAAATATGTTGTAGCAAGCATAACACCACCCAGGCTAGCAAAACTGTATAGAAGCATAACACCACAAATCATGATTCAAACGTATAAAACCCCTCACAGCAGAAAACAAGTTTTCAAAAATCACGCTACTGCTTGAGAACCCCCCAGTTGAGTCAGCTCCTCTAACGAGTCCACACTCGACCCAGACCCAGCGCGAACAAGCGACCCCTTATGTGCCACAACAGGAGGTGTGGAATCCAGCAAACAAGGCGAAGGAGCAGACCCCGCCGAACTCGTTGCCGACTCGCTTGAATTCACATTCGTCTCAGGACTGGCAGGCAGGAGTGGTGGCGTGCGTGGCTCACTCACAGGACTCCCCTTAGTCACCTCTGCTTTTCCACCTTTACCCTCTCCTTCCCCCTCCGCAACCACTACCTGCTCTGCCTGCGCCTCCTCAGGCGGGCTCGAATACCCCCACGGGTTATCCCTAGCCCAGTTCCATTGATCCCGGCACATATCATCCAGAGTCAAACCCGCCCTCCATTTCAGCTCCCTCTCGGCCTTATCCGTCAGCGCATACACCTCCGAGCAGTCGCCTGGTCGCCTGGGGCACATCTTGACGGGAATCTCCCGGCCCGAGGCCTTCTCGAAGCCTGCTACCATCTCCAGCACGGATTGCCCGCGGCCCGTGCCGAGGTTGTACACGTCGCAGGTGAGGGTGGGCGTGGTGAAGATCTTGCGCAGTGCTGCTGTGTGGCCTGCTGCGAGGTCCATGACGTGAATGTAATCTCGCACCTGGTGGGGCGTAGATGGGTGTATAGGACAGTACACAGAAGGTGAGGATGGGTATTTTGGGCAGTGCTGCTGTACGGCCTGCTGCTAGGTCCATGACGTGGATGTAGTCCCGTACCTGGAGGGTTGCAAGTGAGGAGGGTGAGGGTTGCAAGTGAGGAGGGTGTAAGTGAGGTGAATGGGAGGGAATATAGCAGGTGAGGGTGGGACATTGCTGCCGTGTGGCCTGGTGGGTGGTGGAGAGGGGAATGGCAGGTGGTGGATAGTTTGCAGGGATAAAGCCAGGTGATGATGAAGTAAGAGAGCAAAGGAGAGACCGACACTACTCTTTTATTTGACTTTCTCCACCTCCTTTCCTCTGCACCTCATGTATCATTCCACCGCACACACCCTCGCTCCAACCACCCCAGTTCCATCCTTGCTAAGACATCCATTCTCAACCATTCCTGGCAGACCAAACCCTGCGTCTATGCCTCTCACCCTCACCACCCCCTCACTCACCCTCACTCCCAACCTCATCTCCCCCACTCACCCCTGTGCCATCGCGCGTGAGATAGTCATCCCCAAAGACCGAGAGGAAGGGGCGGCGGCCCACGGCGACCTGCTGGATGAAGGGCATGAGGTTGTTGGGGATGCCCTGGGGGTCCTCGCCTATGCGCCCCGACGGGTGCGCGCCCACGGGGTTGAAGTACCGCAGCAGCAGCACCTGCCACCCCGGCGACGCCGCCTGCATGTCCCGCAGCATGTTCTCTATGTACAGCTGCACAAGGGGGAGCGGGGGAGGGGTGCAGGCAACAGGAAAGCGGTTTTGGGGTCGAGTCAAGACTCAGAAACCTGCCACCCCGGTGACGCCGCCTGCATGTCGAGTCAACTACGAAACCTGGCGACGCTGCCTGCGTCGAGTCAACTACGAAACCTGGCGACGCTGCCTGCGTCGAGTCAACTACGAAACCTGGCGACGCTGCCTGCGTCGAGTCAACTACGAAACCTGGCGACGCTGCCTGCACGTCGAGTCAACTACGAAACCTGGCGACGCTGCCTGCATGTCCTGCAGAATGTTCTCTATGTGCAGCAAAACGCCAGAGAACGGAGCGCGGGACGTGCAAGGGGGTGAGGGAAGGCAGCGACGGGCAAGGGGTGAGGGAAAACGGGGCACGGGCAGCAAGTGCGCACTTGTACGGAGCGCACCTTGGTTCAGCCATTTGGGTCCAGCGTTCGCTGCTCGTCCTGCTCCGTGCGCGGTTCTTTTATTACAGTCAGATTCTGTCACGGAGGGGAGTGTCTGGACTCACTTTGGTTCGGCCGTACGGGTTGAGCGTCTGCAGTTCGTCCTCCTCTGTGCACGGCACCCTCTTGGGCTGACCATACACCGTGGCGGATGATGAGAACACTATCTGCACGCACAGCCATGGGGACGGGATGGGGAGTCGCAGCCGATTCGAACACATATGAGACACCTCCTGCATGCATCCATGGAATGGGACGGGGAGTCACAAACGACACTCTTCTTGTGGTAAAGTGATCCTTTGGTTGAATATATCTGTTACAGTAGAAAAGCGGCAATTCTGCGCGTTCATTTCATCTTGCTACAGCCGTACTGCACCACGAGCTCACCTTGCTACAGCCGTACTGCGCCATGAGCTCCAGCAACACGATGGTGCCCGTGATGTTGTTGTGGTAGTATCGTAGCGGCTGCTGCACGCTCTCGCCCACCGCCTTGAGCCCCGCGAAGTGAATCACGGCGTCGAAACTGGGAGATGGATGATCGTTAGGAAATGAAACGAAAAGGAAGTCATGGCCAGAAACGAATGTAAAAAAACAGGAGACGCGAAGGCCGACGCAGTCATAGATTTGCAACACAAAAACGGCTGTAGTCAATGCCTGGACAAGGATGCTGAATGCAAGAGGGATCTCGATGCTCGCGCTGGGGTCGTGGACTCACGCAGTGTGCTTGAACACCTCCTCCAAACGAGGACGGTCCAACAGATCAACCTGCGCACGCATGAACACGCATGAGCACGCATGAGCAACCCAAACCGTCAGTCAGCTCTAATTCACGACGCGAGGCGAATCGCGAGATGGAAAGCATGACAGCAGAGTGAAAGTAACCGTCCTACCTTAAAGAAGGTCAGATTTCTTCCCTTGTCGCCGGTCAGCTCCACGACGCGAGTGATGGCTTCCTCGGAGGAGTTATCGAGGTTGTCCACCACCACTACCCTACACGACACAACCGCACCGCACCACACCGCGTCAGACAGCTGAGCATAGCACCAAAATAGTTTGGAATTTTTACCAAGCGTCGAACTAGCTTGTAACACAACCTAGTGACGTTCCTGGATATATGCGCAGAACTTCCGGAAACTGAGTCCTGAGGACTTCAAATGCAACGCTTTGCTGATATTTTCGCACGGAATGATGTTGTGTGTGCATTACCTATAGCCCTCCTCTAATAGTTGGACGCAGGTGTGGCTTCCAATGTATCCTGCGCCTCCAGTGACCAAAATAGTGCCTTTATCGGATGTACCATTAGCACGCCACTCTGAACCTTCTTGATTTGAACTAGCCATGAGGCCGACAGTAGATAAGGATTCCAAGCCTTACGATGCAGTCTAGATTGTGAACACGGAAACAATTAGGTCAGAACTTCCTTGAGAGCAAGAGATAACAATGCCCAGCAGGAAGTGGGGAGAGGAATTTATACAGCTGCCGGCAGTGGTCAGAGGAGCGTTCCTGTGGGTTCGATTCAGTTCAGTCACTGAAATGGAATCCCCGGGGGGATGTGCAGTGCAGGTCTCCCTATTTGTTGGGCATGCGGGGTTCGGTTCTGCGGTGGTGGGAAGAGAGGAGATTCTCGAGGTGGGGCTCGCGTGCCGCGCACCTCGTGGCCACTAGGTGTGCAACAAATCTTATCACTGCACCCGTGCCGCAGGATTGAAGTTCAAGGGATCCTCCGAATGCTTCAACGGTTTAGATATTGCCTTGAGCTTCCCAGGTTTGTGACTGGCTGAACAAGACGGCAGCGCCTTCGGTCTTGCTGTAGAGCGATGGGCAAGCTGGAAGCCCCAGCACCTGTCGCTCCTTCCCCGATTCCCCCGCGCGAGGACGCTGGCGTGTGACATGTGGGACGACATGCTACCACCTGTAAGTCGAGACATCGCCTACGAATCACCGAATATTGCAGCAAAACTGCCCGTGAAGCGAAAATGAAGAGTGTGGGTGGTAACTACTCATGGGGGCTTCGCTTTGCCCCCTGTGGTTTGGGGAGCCTATTGTGACGTGTCGATGCATCAGCGGGGATGAGTTACGACCAGTGATCCAGCCGTGGCAGGCAGTTGTCCAATACGAGCCAGCAATGGGGTGATTGGCGCCAGCAGAATTCCTCCCAAGCGCAGCACTGCTTTTGTCGATTGCGAGTTCGATACAGGTCCTGGTAGTGAAGCAATGAGGCAACTTACATTTCAGTAGCTAGGAATAAGAGCTCGACTTTTGCTATCGGATGGCTTTGGTGCGACGTTTGTTCATGTGATTGCACCCTGTATGTGAGTCATGGAGCAGAAGTATATCGGAGCAGATTCTGACAAGACGGCTAACGTGGTCGCCAGCACACTAGGTAGAACCCTTGAGTCACCATACTGGTGTTGGCGACCGTGTCACCTGCTGACTCTGCCACTCCTGCTGACGCAACACAAACACTAGCTCTCAGGGCGCCATGTGTGCAGTTTTGTTTGAAACAGACGTGGCATGACGCCAGTTCAAACCTAC